TTATACTATTAACCTATTGATGATTTAATATCATAAAGTTTTTTAGATTTCGTAGCCTCAATTAAATTTATATAGTTTGCGATATTTCACTTTTAATGGGCTTTTATAATATATATTATGTCAGAAAATACCATTATTTCTTTAAGGTCTATATTGTATTAATAATTTTAGCAAATTTAATGTCTTGGGTTCTATTTTTGATCTATTGAAGATTAAGAATTTCACTATTCACTAAGGTTCTATATTCCATCAATAAATTTACACTTAGAAATGCTAGTGCTTATTTAGAATGAATCATTAATAAATCGAATAGTCTTCCCATTTACTTTTTACCTGCTAACAACTTTATATCGTATTTAGAATTATTGACGTTATTTAGATTCCGATTATCATAATTATTGATTGGCCTCCTATTACTGATTTAGTGCGATATTATATTTAGAGATGTTCTATACTGCATTAATAAACTTGATCTCCATTTCACGTTATGCATTGAATCTTTAGCTCATTTACTATCTATCAGGTATACATAGGAAGATTAATATTTAATTATTATTCAAAATTTATGTTGTAGAAATAAATGGAATATCAATTAAAGGATCATCCACTGTAACGCAATAGATTTGACGATGAGGGTTGATTGGAATAAATATAAAGCATTTTTTGGAAATGATCCAGCTTACCTCGGCTAATCTCTTCATGGTGCGCATATTTGTAATTTTGATCTCTTCAAGTTCATTGGCCAAGTTTAATTTAGCCACGTTAGCTACTTCTAATGCCGCTCGCATCCTTTGAATGCCATCTTGTGCAGTTTGACGAGTATCAATTGCTAGTTTGCATTCCTGACGATAGCGGGATAATTCTTTAGTTAGTCGCTTTATTTCTTCATCATGGCGTTGTGCATCTTCTAAATGGAGGCCCCCATCGCGCCTTATTTTTTCAGCTTCTAGTGAGCATAAATTCAACTTGATGGATTGGATAGAACTTTCTAAATGGCATACTCTACCCACTAATTTCTCATAATCTTTCATTAATGCACTATTATCGTAATGGTTAGGTTGATCGGCACGAAAAGGTGGAATAGGATGATGTTGGCTTGCAGCTTTATCCGACATTTTATTGATTGCAGTCCATTTCGACAGCTGCTTCATGACATCTTGCGTTTCAAATTCAGCAGAATCTAATCGATTGTGTAATAATCGAAGATTTTGACTGGCTGGTGATTCTGGCATATTTTTTCCCACTTTACTCATAATTCCTCTTTTGCTGCTAATAGCTTGGATAATCCAAACCTACACGCAATAAAACGACCAATAATTTTGTCAACAAAAATAGAGCAAGGCTAACATTCTCCTGTACCAAGCTCAATTTAAATTAACTGCCGTTTCCGTAGAAACTACTAGTAAAAAGCCTTAATTCTATAGAACAGCGTCTGTCTGGCTTATAATTTTATACAGAAATTTTAAGGGCGAGCATGCGTAGGCTTGATGAAGAAAGCATACTGTAGGTAATAAGATTCATGACGTCAAGATGGAGAATTATTCCAATCTCCAGATATTATAATAGCAGTAAAACAATGAATTGCTAGGCTTAATATTATTGCTTGAATGAAGTTGTACAGAGTAAGTTTATTATAGCGAATAAGATTACTTTACAAATTATTCTACTTGAAAAGTGTTAAATATCTATCAATTTCTCACTTGATGTGGACTGCTATGTGTAGGCACAACTCGATTGAACTAGTTAAGCATCGGAATACTATCCAACTCCACGCTGTATAATGAAACACATCTTATATGGGCTATTTCTAAACACATATAAGTCTACATAACACCATATTAGACTACAATATTACATCATAATACGGCGGTAGCACTACGTATTAGTTATGCATAAGTACACGCGTATATAAACTAGTGAAGCATGGAAATACTATCCAACACCACGCTATATAATGAAACACATCTTCTATAGGCTATTTTGAAACACATGTAAATCTACATAATACTATGTTAGACTAGAATATGACATCATAATATGGCGGTAGCACTACATATTAGTGAGGCATAAATATACGCGTATTCATAACCAGTTGAGCATCGAAATTCTATCCAACTCCACGCTATATAAAGAAACACATCTTCTAAGGCTATTTCTAACACATGTACGTAAAATTTACAAAATATCACGTTAGACTACAATATTACATCGTAATATGGCGGTAGCACTACATATTAGTGAGGCTTAAATATATGCAAATATATAACTAGTTAATCTTACTATAGAATAATTAATTTCTATACCGTTATTGAGAATCAATTATAAATTAAGAGATTAAAAAGAGACACTTAAACATACTGAATTTTCACGATTTTCTTACTTTCTGTCTTACTATAGAATATTTAATTTCAATACCGTTCTGGAGAACAAATTAAATACCCGTATGGAATTATAAATTATAAAATTATCAAGAAGATACTTAAATATACTGAATATCTATTTATTTTCTTACTTTCTATCTTACGATGGAGTATCGTAGTTAATTTTAATGCCGTTACGGAGAATAAATTAAATATAGAATCATAAATTATAAGATTATCAAGAGGATGTCTAAACATACTAAATATTCATTCGTTTACTAACTTTCTGTCTTACCTTAGAATAATTAGTTTCGATACCGTATTGGAGAATAAATGGAATATGCAATTATAAATGTAAGACTATTAAGGAGATTCTATCATTCTTCTTTGCTTTTCTACCTTACCTTGCAATATGTAATTGCGATACTGTAATGGAGAATAAGTGGATTATACAGCCATGACCTTTATTATCATCAAGGAGGTATTTGACATTATGGAAATAAGTTAATTTTGGAGCCATGACTTTTAAGATCACCCGTGCATAACTTAATTTTAAAATACACGTATATCCAATTGTTTTCTCACTTAGTGCGAGCTTCCTTTCTCGCGTAGTGTAGTTTAGAATATGCGATGGATAGAAAGGATATTATTTTCTGCCTTGCTTGGTAATGAGTGGTTTTTAAACAGTCGTGAAAAACAAGTTTGTACCGAAGCTATAGTGATAAGATCTTTTTGAAAGACATTAAAAGTACTCACATTAATCTATTTCTTAACAAATAGCAACGTGCGGTATTATATTTGTATATCTAGGTATTCTTCCGTTTTATACTGTATCGTCGCAATTGATTCAATACAGTCATAAGAAGAAGAATTTAATGAGGTCACGATAGATTAGATAGCTGTAACAAATAGTATTTCAAATTTTCTTTCATTAAAACAAAATTTCACTTTTATAGTTTACGAAAATAAGTTTAATTATTGAAGGCGGTAGCGGTTATTAGTATAGGAAGTTATCTATTGCAATTATCAGTGCTGTAGCAACAGTGTTAAAAAATTATTTGTATACAACAAATCATAAAGAAAAGAAAATTTCCATCATAAAATGGATTGTGATATAACTATTAGCTGCAGCGAAAGGGTTGCAAGAGGATGTTACGCAGCCAAGCACCGTACATATTAATGAAGTAGATTTCGTTATATAGCTAATGGCAATACGCTAAACAGTAATTATGAATATTAATCGTGTATAGTTTAGCTAGATAACCAAGCGTGTTCTGAATTTAATTAGTATAATCTTTATAGATACTAATATTGACGGCGTCACCTTAGCACTCGCCGCGAAGTTCGAGTAACGTGCTGAACCTCGTTCGCTTAATTGGCTATTTATTAGTTATTGCCAATTAAAGTTGTATACTAGTTGTACCTATAGCAAACTATGTAGTTTACTATAGGTTGTTTCCCTATACGAACCATGTATATGTTTTGTTGTTAAATTACTATGTGCGCACCACAAGTTCGGTGGTAGGCTATAAAAGGAGGAGCGAATGCTCAGCTCCTCAGTTCGTGATTAGATAGCGTTTCGCTTACTCTATTAATTAATAAAACTATACTAAACTCTTGGAACAATCTTATCCCTATGTGGTCGTAAGTCGTATAGGACTACCATACAGTAGACCTCCAGGTGTAATGGAGGTAAGAATAAGTAATTTATTCGTTCAGGGTAGTAGTTCGCAAGTTAAATTTGTGACAGAAGAGTATACGCTTATTTTTTTCAGTCTGAAAGCAAGTTTTGTTACATACAGTATAGTATTCTTAATGGACGTGCGCAAATACAATACGAGAATTTTTAGAAGATCTTTGAGGCAATTCTTGATCTAGCTAAAAGATGGTAAACTAATATGTTATTACCTCTTTTACGCACATCTTAAATTGTTAAGAGTCTAAGTTGCAGATAGCAGAGAAAAGAATGGCTAAACCGTTTTGGGAATAACTTTGAGTCACGGATTGGTCACTTTCTCATCCATAGAGGATTAATGATAAGATTTGCAATGTAAAGATAAGTTTATTTCATTCGTAATATGAAAGCCTTACATCCTTTTAGAGAAGATAAATTATAATTTAATGCTAAAGTTTTCGTTATCGAAAGCAGTATGCATTCACTATTCCCCATCATCAATTGAAGATGCAATTAAGGTAATTGGTAAACATTGCTATCAAGGGCTAAAGGCACAAAATTAACTTGATCACTATCACACGAGTATGAGCAGAATTGATCCGCCATAACTGTTGTCAAGCCTACGATAAGAAAATTTATCATTGGCTTGGATTAACATAACTTACGGTTACAAATTAGATTCTAATCAAGTTCAAGAATTACCATTCTACTCTATCACTCATTTCTATTCATGACATCTACATAAGATATGTATTACTATTATTACAATAATAATTTTACACTGATCAATGATATAATCAAGTGGAAAAGTTCCAATTTTACTTGCTAGTAAGGTAGGTGTTACGAGAAAAAGTTAAGAAGGAAGCAAGGTTACCCAATTTACTTGGTTCGATTAAAAAAATAGACACATGTTATACCATCCAATCATCCATGTCCATCATGCTAAGATGTTTTAGCTTACAATTTTAGTTGGATAGTGTGTGTACATCAAATTGATATTCTCCAAGACCGTTCCCAACTCTAGTTAATTGACCGATATGATCAGAGAGAGTTTTAATTATTCCAACTGATTCGCTCAGTAAATGGGATTCGATCCAATCACTTAATTGTGGATCGGAGTGAGAGTCGGTGATGACATGAAAATCGAGAGCGGCTTGATTGTATTTCTTTTCTAGATCCAGAGCATGTTTCATCGAGTCTACACATGAGCCAAATTCTGATTTCTCCGGTTTGGTAATATCCATAAGGACGATACGTCCACCGCGAGTATTTTGCAAACTTAGCAGTTTTTCCAGAGTTTCTCTCTTTTCGCAAGCGCAATGTTTGAAAAATTTGGTCATGTTGGGTAGGTTGATGTCATCACGATTAAAATAGAAAGCCTACAATCCAATGAAAAGAATAATATGATTAGGCTGCAGAATTGAAACGATCTACTGTAGTAGTTACAATTAAAGGAATGAATGGTCAATATCGTCATTGCGAGTATTGATCGTAGTAAAAGGAGTAATAATATTGTATTGACTATCCGTGAGAGATACTGTTCGTATATGGTTACTGTCTATCAATAACTCGTCGATGATAGTGTTATAATTTACTGTATTTCGGCGGATATTGATTAATTTTATTTGATGACTTGCTGTCAAACAATGATCATGAATCAATTGCCTCCTACACGTAATTTAGTAATCAAAATTTAATCTGTTGAAGTGGTCATGAAGTCAAATACGTCGGTAGAAAGAGTAAGGGTACCGTCCAAGACAATGATAGTTGATGAAATGGAATTGATTCGATTATCCTTACTGTCCATGGCTATTCCATTGTATCAATTTACTACTGTACTCAAGTAGAATCCCGTTAGTTAAGTTAATAAACGAGTAGTCTGAAAAGCGATTCAACACTGTATCTACGGCTGATTCTATTCAGGGATGAAGGTGTTGGCATTTTCTTGTAACGAGATCGAAAAAGAGTTTGCTACTTAACGAGTCATAACTACAAGTTCAACATAGTAAAGTAATTCGGAAATTTCTACTTGACAACACCAGAATAGAAAGCATGAAATAATATTACTGATTGAATGGTGAACATGTTCGAGGGTCGAATTTTACCGAAGCGGTTTTCTTCATTTACCCCATTCCATGACTCAATATACCGTACAGTACTACTAGTAGGTGTAATCGATCGATTTATTGACAAATATGGAAGCCATTGATCGCGTAATTAGTCCATGTTGGAAATTTTTGTTAGGGGAAGGCGGCTTGTACAGTACTGGTCTTGCTGATCAATATGGGTCCGATATTGATTTTTCTCAATGGTTATGAACATTTTATTTTTCACTAGGCAACCGATCTTCAATGCCATTTTTCAATCGATCGCGTAATTAGTTAATGTTGGAAATCTTTTTTAGGGGAAAGCGGCTTGTACTGGTCTTGCTGATCAATATGGGTCCGATATTGATTTTTCTCAAAGGTTATCAACATTTTATGTTTCACTAGGCAACCGATCTTCAATGCCATTTTTCAATTTTTTTTCAAGCAATTGTACACCATATCAATCATGACTTACCATTGCCATATAGACGTATTCGTAGTTTAGGGTAAGATTAATTAATTTATTGAGAGTAGCTTCTGATTCTGCATGAAAATTTTGTCGAGGTAAAGCCATGGCGGAGCACTAAGCAAATCTTGTCGGAGAGTCAAGATGGACGCAGCTCAAGGACTGGAAGAAGAAAGCAAGTGAGTCAGGTTGACGTCAGCTTGAAGAAGTGATAGCCGGTACGGTACCAGTACAGTGTCCGATTACGGTGCTGTTCTCTGTCCGAATGTCCGTGGTACAGTGTAAAGCTACAGTACACTGTACAGTACTGTACAGTGTACAGTACAATGTGATTAATTTGATGGCTACCCTTCGTTCAAAATCAAAGTCGTATGCCGTTGAAATTGCTGTCTAGTATTTATTTATATACTGTATACCCGTAGAAGGATATCTCCCAAGATAGATTATCATGATAACATCAACGTACTATGTCAATATAATACAGTGCTATACAGTGTACAGTACAATCGGATTATTTTGATGGCAACCCTTCGTTCAAAAATCAAAGTCGTATGCCGTTGAAATCCTTGTATCATATTTATATACCGCACTATACTATTGACCGCAGTACAATAGCATCAGTCTCAATTTAGTATTAGTATCCACGGCTGTCAAGTCGGCCTAGCAGTGACGTCATGGATTCTAAGCCCACAAGGGCCAATAAATAATTTTTGGGGGAAAATCGTTTGATGCCTGGCTTTTATTTTTCAAAATATAAACACTTATTATATTGATTGCTGGCCGTATTACAGGAGTCGAATCAACATCGATATCCAATTTCCTATGTATAAAATACGAATCTATACAGTCATGTACTGTAGATTCGTAGAATGGCAGTCTTCATTGAGCACGTCCGCCACTCAACAAAAGAGAAGTAGCGTATTGTGCAACGAGTCGAACAAAATTGTTGTGGGCAAGTTCCACTAGTAGCGGCAATCGATGAGATATATTCAAGATATTTTGAATGCACCGGTATCGGGTGATGTCTCCATCTTTCCGTTATCTGTCAAGTATCTCTCTAAACTGTGACAATTTTGGGGTTGCCAACAGGATTGACAATAAGTAGGTTTATATTTGGATACCACGATGCTGTCATCAAGCCATTCAAAGTACATTGAATAACTTGAAGTGAATGGCTCTCATTCACGTACGACAGATGAGAACTTTTTCTACATACATCTCAAAGTCCATGACATAACCACGGACTGCTAAAAAAAGGAAAGAGAGACAAGTAGCGGCCATTCAGTGCAAAATAATAATGAACGGCTGGCTATTTTTCTGGTCATTCTGCTCTACGCTATCAACGAAACCGTATGCCATACTGTACTCAGTGTACTGTACGCTCATTTGGATGGATGGCAAGCACGGACAGTATTAGTGTATCCTTTCAGTCATACAGTTCAATTGAATTGACCAGTAAAATAACTAGTTTCATCATTTTTTACTTGACTGAATGGCCTTTTCTCACTCACTCCCTTTCCTTTCTTGGAAATCCGTGACATAACAGTACAGTACACTAGGTTAGCTCAGTAGTAGTAGAAAAAGTAATCCATGACTACACCTAGTGACGGTCAAGGCCTTCTTCTGGTACAGGAGTCCTTGTTTTTGACGGTCTAGTCCATTATTCCTGTTGATAACATCGAGACCGTTTGACATGGCTTAATTTAGAAAGGGAACAGCGAGCAAAATTGATGTCTATATATTATTCTATCGCCAGGTGTTTACACTGAAGAATGAATCAATACGAGTGACATTACTTTTAGCGAGTAAAGTTAATGTCTGTGTACTATTCTATCCTCAGCTGTTTACACTGAAGAATAAATCAATACGAGTGACATTGCTTTTAGCGAGCAAAGTTGATGTCTGTGTACTATTCTTCAGGTCTACTGACATTGCTTTTAGCGAGCAAAGTTGATGTCTGTGTACTATTCTATCGTCAGCTGTTTACACTGAAGAATGAATCAATACGAGTGACATTACTTTTAGCGAGCAAAGTTAATGTCTGTGTACTATTCTATCGTCAAATGTTTACGCTGAAGAATGAATCAATATGAGTGACATTACTTTTAGCGAGCAAAGTTAATGTCTGGGCACTATTCTATCGTCACGTGTTTACACTGAAGAGTGAATCAATACGGGTGACATTACTTTTAGCGAGCAAAGTTATTGTCTGTGTACTATTCTATCTTCATGTGTTTACACTGAAGAATGAATCAATGCGAGTGACATTACTTTTAGCGAGCAAAGTAACTGTCTGTGTACTATTCTACAGCATTGTCAGCTTTTTAGATTGAAGAATAAATCAATACGAGTGACATTACTTTTAGCGAGCAAAGTTAATGTCTGTGTACTATTCACCACAGGCTGTATCATCATCAGCTGTTTACACTAATAAGTGAATCATTGTTAGTAACATCCCTTTTAGTCCATCTTTTCCATACTCTGGTGTCTTGAGTGTGCGACTTTGTTGCACCTCCATGGCGCATTCCAATCATAGCTGAGGCATTTTCCATTGGGCTTCCATTGCATACAGTACAGCTAGCGAGCACTTGCACCGACACGTACCATACAGTCCTATTTTCTAGTAACAGTATGACAATAGCTTCTATTCATAGCGCAGACGTGTACTGGCTTGCACCATAGATACGCGATGGCAAACGCTGCTACGCCTTGATTATAAATTGACATGCAATGCAATCCTTGCATGTTATTCTTTCAAATCACTTGTGGTAATCCTATCGAAGTTTGCCTTCCAATTTGTAAATCATCCAATTCCTAGGCAAGCTTTCCTTAATCGGTAACGTTGAATTTTATTTTCTTGTTGATTTAGTTTTGGTAGTATTGCTAGTTGTTAATAATGGATTGCATCGTCGTGGATAGTAGCATCATGACATGATTGGGGAAGGATTGTCGTCGATCATGATGATCATTCATATAAGAGTAATCTTACAAAATCGATTTGAATCGGTACCTTTCATGCTCTTTTGAACTATTCCGTAGTTTTAATAAGACATTGTTATTTTCTACTGGCACTTTGGAGTGGGTTACGGTAGTGGTGGATCATTGTTCATGGTTATACAGTGGCGATGATCGTGATTAACAACAACAAATCGAGTGCAATACCCTCAGCTGCACAAGACGTATACAAAACACATTCCATCATTCCTAATACGCGTAGTATAGTATTTTAGCTACGACTATCCTGCCGATAGGATGTTCATAACAGACCGTCGAGAAATTTCTCTACGGTCTCTATGCTGTACTCAAATTCTGTAGTGTCATAGTGCTTCAGTTAAAAATGAGGCATCAAGCATTCCACTCTATTGCCGTACATTTGGCCCTGCCATATGAACATCGATATCTTGAAATACTCAGCGTAAATGGCAGATGGGAGACGATCATTTCCGATGCCTAATAAGGAATAAGTTATTTTTTATCCTTCTTCAATAATAATACTGTCATGAGTGAATTGAATCAGTGAGTAACACGGATACTGTCGTAAGACTCATCACTGTGATCACGTTCAAAAAAGAAATAATAAGGATATAGACGGCAGCAACCCATAGCAGCTCAATAAGCCTATGGGCCGTGCACAGTATACCGTTGAACAAGCGACATCCGTGTCTAACAGGAGCTCAGCAATTGGTGCAAACTCATCTCACGACACGACTAACGATGATAAATATGGACTTACTATGCTGTACAGTGTACTAGACTACTAGTCGAGCTTTGTATCCATGCCTATAGCTCAACTCCTTGTCTACATTCTTCAATACTACATTATAGATATTTTGCAGAACTATCCTACTCAAAAGACGTATTGAACCGTGCACTCCGCTTGTATGCTACCCTTGTTTACCTCTACTGGTCGACCCTATTTACGTGTATACTTCCAAATTCACCTTGCAAGTTTATCCAGGTTGCGATTACTATCCAACTCGATAATCGCTATGCCCATTGAATTTCTAGCTGAATATGATCGTAGCGGTCGTGCCAGTTGTAAAGGATGCAAACAAAAACTAGAAAAGAAAGCTTTACGTATTGCTAAAGTTGTAGAAAACCCTTTTGGAGATACAGGGGAGACCATGAAACAATGGCATCACCCGAAATGCATCTTTAATTCCTTCATAAGAGCAAGACCAGCTACAAAAATTATTCAAACTGTGGCAGATATTGATGGATACGATGACTTGGAGGATGATGATCAAGAATCAGTGTCACAAATGATAACCGGTAAGTTATTCTGTAAATGTTGTATTATACAAGTATTGTTTGCTGTAGAATACAATCTCGAATTTTTTTCCTCGAGATATTTACTGTACTGTATGTGTACAAGAGTACAAAGTACTCTGCATTGGTTATAATTAATCAATAAATAATGTTTATATAATCGAATACAACAACTAGATTGCTTGAAAGAGCGTGGTAATAAACAATCGAAAAAGAAAATGGTTCAACAATCTATACCCTTTGCTAAAGGTATCCTCCTGCATTCATTTATCTACTTGCAACCATTTATTAATGAGCAATTTTTATTAGCTAAACGATTACCTACAGTTATTCGATTGATAGATAGATATTTTTATTATATCTTACATCTTTATATATATACAGTGCTGTACTGTTCAGTAATAGATTTTCAATAGTTTGTTTTGACTATGATTATCAATTGATCGATACTCTTGATAATTATTTGGAGAGTAGCAGGTCCTTCAGGTTTCAGTAAGCCTAATTCGGGCTGGAATAATTCCAAAAAAGCGTATCATAGCTCAACTTCCAATAATAACAATAGCCAAGATGACAATTCCTTCCAGCTCTTTACAAGTTTGTGCGATAAAATCGGCAACGTTGGTAGTTATTTAGCCAAGACTAAAGTTGTTGCAGATCTGCTAAAAATGGGCAGTAACGGAAGTAAGTAAACTATTGAATTTATTGAATTTACTTCTAATACCAATATCTATCATTTCTTATAATAGATTAATAAAAATGACAGGTTCAATTTTTATTCTTTATTGGCATCCATTTATATGATACTGTTAAAGTACAGTGTAATACCGGCTTATAAAATATCACTACTCTTGTTGACGCAATAGTAATGTATAGCTCATGGATTCAATGCCAATAATTTTATTCATTTTTTGGGATAGATGGCTATGAAGGAGATATTTATTTACTTATGAAGCTTTTACTACCTGGTATTGAAAAACGTGTTTACAACTTGCAGAGCAGACAATTAATCAAGCTTTTTAGCCAGGTAACTTTACCTATAACATAGTTGATTTCGGATTAAACCTAAACCACTTCATATGCGTAAATCATGAATCCTATTTATTGATTACAAATCTTTTAGATATTTGTATGTGATTACGACGAAATGCTCGAGGATTTAGATAAGGTAGAATATACATCTATCTCTGGACAGAATTATTAATTACGTCAATGATACAAGGAATTTATTTTCATCTAGGGAGACGTTGCCGAAACAATTACGGATTTCTTTGCCAACAATACGGCTGTAGCGCCGTTAAATCGAAGTCTTTTAACTATGCAAGAGGTAGATTCAGCTAGCAAATTTTAATGCCATGTAGCCCAATATTAATTAATATCATGTATATCCTGAATGAATCGTAATTGTACTCCAGGTTGACGATCTATTAGATGAATTGAGTAACGTAACTAAAGAAGATATGCAACTTAAAGTGTTGAAAAAAATTGCAAGAAGGTATAATTTCAGATGCTTCAAGAAAATTTAGCTAGGAAGATCCAAATTTATTCTAGTTTTGTACTCGTTATAGATGTACTACAGAAGACTTAAGGTACATTATTAGGCTTATCAAACATGATCTAAGAATCAACGCTGGCTCTAGGCATATGTAAGCATAATAGTACAATATTCGTATCTATAGGACATTGTTAGATAATCTGTGCTGGTTCTGATTTAAAAGTCTCTTAAAAAGTGATATACAATCTTCTTATACGGCTTATTTATTATGTTAATGTTCCTTTAATTAATTGCATTTCTCCTTCCGGTATCGATATCTTGTATAGATTGGATGCTCTTGATAAGAATGCTCATGCAGCATATCAAGCTTCCAGTGATTTACGTGATGTTGTAGATCGATGTTTAGCACGAAAGACTGATAGGAATAATGATGATGACGATGGAGCACCAAAATTGAAACGAGATCTTAGTATACGCGCTTCTTTAATGACTCCTGTCAGGCCGATGTTGGTTAGATGCTTTATTTTGTGATGGATAAATAAAATAAATAGAGAATTAATACGATACAAGATAGTATTAATTGTATGCTACTAACTACCACAGGCAGAAGCATGTAAATCGATCAATACTGCAATCAAAAAATGTCCAAAAGGAATGTTTGCCGAGATCAAATATGATGGCGAAAGAGTACAGGTATTCTTGTTATATATTTAATTGTAAATTAATAGATAGATCAATTTCTATGTGCATTGGAATATATTTTGTGTTTCCCTTCTACGCTATACGAGATTATGCAAATTAACGAAGAGAAACAACATGTATCTATACTTTACTGTAAAGACTGTCGGCAGTGACAAATATTTATTAACGGTAATTCGCAAATGCCAATGCAGATTCACAAAAACGGACAACAATTTGAATATTACAGTCGAAGCTTGAAACAAGTTATGCCACACAAGGTATAATTAAGAGCGATCATATGAGTGGGAATAGGAATTATATTGACGGATGATAATATCTTGTAAACTAGGTTAAGGACATAAAACAATATCTGCCGCAAGCATGTCCGCATGGTAATAGTATCATCCTGGACAGTGAGGTAGATATGCTAAGGAAATCCTTTCATTTCTAAATCATAAAAGTATATGCTATCTTTCATTAATAAGCTGACTGTAATATTGACCAAATGCACTTATTAATTATTAAGGTATTACTAGTCGATAAAACTGGCAAGCCTTTACCATTTGGGACTCTTGGAGTTCACAAGGTTTTTTATCCAATTTGCAGACGTAACTTGTATGTCCTTAATGAAGTTACTTCTTATTACCTAACTGTCATGATGCATTAATCTTAGAAACAAAATTTTTCGGACGCTACCGTTTGCTTGTTTATTTTCGACTGCCTGCATTTCAATGGTAAAGATTTGATGCAAACGTAAGTTTAATATTCTTTCTTCGATTAACTTCATAAAAATACAATTATCAATAGTGGATTACTTCTTAGTAGCTATTACTGAAATTAAGTTTACTTTCAGCTCCATCATCGATAGACGGAAGATATTAGAAAGCAATGTCCAGGAGATTCCTGGTCGGATAATGTTATCAGAGAAGAAACTTGTTCAAAAGGAAAATGAACTTACGGGATTAGTTTCACGAGTAATTAGAGAGGGCTTGGAAGGTCTTGTATTAAAAGATGTGGAGGTAATAAGCTATTGTTGTCTGTGGGGATAATTGTTGATGTTTCTATCGAATGAATACGAGTAAAGTTTTCTAATATCGTTTTTAAATCTAGAGCGTATATGAACCAGGAAAGAGACATTGGCTAAAGGTAACATTGAAACCAACTAATAATTCTTTAACATCCCGTCAAAGATGAATTTTTAATTACATGAGTATCTATTTTAGATATTGTAAAAACTTTGAGCCCGATCTAATAATGTAGAAGTAATAGATTATATATTAATGTTGACAGATAAAAAAGGATTACCTAGCTGAAGGAAGTATGGCAGATAGTGCCGATCTTGTTGTGCTTGGAGCATACTACGGTACCGGAAATAAAGGTAGGTCGCTATAAATCTATTTATTAATTTTATAAATGCAACTCTTCCTCCTTGCATAATCATCATTATGACTGTAGTGTATATTAAAACTATTACATTTTAAAATTCAACATTTAACATCATTATATGTAATATCATCGCTGCCTGACTTCAGGTGGAGTTATGTCGGTCTTCTTGATGGGTACATATGATGAAAGATCTGGTCGTTGGCGTACCGTTGCCAAATGCGGTAATGGCCATGATGACAAAACTTTGGATAAAATTAACAAAGAACTAAGCGTTGTTAAAATAAGCAAGGTAAATCTGATTACTTACGATTATACTGTACGTGCTCATATGATCTGTATTGATGAATACATCTGTATAATATTAGCTCTGGATTAAAAATATATTTGCTAAACCTTCAATAAATGGCTTTACAATAGGATTTTTCGAAGGTTCCTGGCTGGTTAAATGTTCATCGTAGCTTGGTTCCTGATTTTATTGTAACTGATCCCAAGGTAATAACGCGATTGTCGGTTGTGCTACCATATTTTTACAGTTAGTAATAAGAACTGTACCTAATGGTTGTAACATTGTCATTGTTTTTCAAACTTGTTAGACAGCGCCCGTATGGGAAATTACTGGTGCTGAATTTAGTCAGTCTACTGTTCATACAGCTGACGGTATTTCTATTCGCTTTCCACGAGTTACGAGGATTCGCGATGATAAAGATTGGACAAATGCTACCAATTTAGATCGCTTAAAGGTTAAAATAATACTAATGATAATGGCAATTCTATTGCGTGTAAGATTTACAACATCACTCTAGAACTTTTCGTCATTTCTACTATAGACGTTGTACGAAAATTCCAAAGATGCTTCAGGTACTTAGATTTTACTTCGTATATTTAGCCATAATTATATAATGAAATCTGAACTGAAATTGCGGCTCTTTATAGATATTGCAGATTCTTTACTTGGTGTTAAGAAAGAAGTGGATGATGAAGGAGAATGCAGTAGCAGTAGTAGTCCCGATAAAACGGTTACCAGAAAGCGTAAAGTAGAAGAGTTAGAGAAAGAAAAAACTACTATAGCTGATAATAAGGTATTATTTAAAATATTGTTGAAATATGAATGTCTTACTAAATCTATAATTACCCTGTATTTGCTATTTTGCAACATAAACATAATATCATGCGGTGATCGATAGACTGTTTCATCTTAATGAATACAGGTGATATCTAAAATACCTTGCAAGTATGGTCCTAATTGCTATAGGAAGAATGGTGAACATCTAGCCAATTACAGCCATAATAAGGTAATTTTCATAGGATATTGGCATGTCAACGACGTTCTTGGTTTATGATGAAATATTTTAAATTTGAATCATTGTAATTTTTTAAGGAGAATGGTAATAGTTCTCCAAATGCCTGTGGATCACAGATTAAACAGGTATCATTAACTGTATAATTGAAGTGGTAGAAGCCTACAAATTATAACCTTCTAATATTGTTATTCAGGGTTTACCCAATTTTTTCCACGGATTGAAATTTGTCATTTCAAGTGATGTCCCCCATCAGCGTAACATTACGCGTCATATCATTGCGTATCCTTTATTATATTTATATTACTACAGGCCGTACTTGCGATTCTTTATTAAAAACGTCAATGATGGCAGTTTCTTTAACAGTATTGAAATAAAGCTTTGATGGAGATGTTTTAGATGAATTTAAAGAAGACCAAGCTGACCACATTATTGTGAATAGCAATCGTAATAAAAAGGTAAATCATATACAGTAAGGACGATACCTAACATCAATGAATAATACAAAATATATTCTTGTGACCAAAAATAACTCTTTCTTGGTATTTGTTTGAATAGGATGATTCGTCTAAGTATATGACCGCATCAGAATTTTGGGACTTTTATAAGAAATCGAAACAATCTTAATAACCATCTCGTTATTAACTGATCGTTTATTTTAACAATGTATGTAGCTTATAACGAATTTGTAATGGTCAATGCGCTAATGAATTGTTGTCCAAAATTTTGATTATTATAAATGTAACCTTACCGGTACTGTATTCTTATGGGTGTTCTATTTACGGGAATATATGTAGATAGTACCATATTACTTGCCTTTCCAGGTATCTGTCGATAATTGATCATGGATTAGGAGAAAACTATTCTTACTCAGATCCAAGTCATTAAATTGATTTTTAAGCCAGGATTAAACGAATGCTATAAAAGTCAATACAAATTGACAGTTAGCACTAAATATGCTATGTTGTAGACGACGCTAACATGGAGTTGTAGTGAAATTTTATCTATAATTAGTTAAGTATAGCGACTATAGACTTTCTGTTACTGTAATATAGGTATTTCTGACTGAAATTTATTCTGATTTTTGCTATCTTTGCATGTTTTATTCTATTGCGATATTGCGTTATTATTCCTATGTATCAGTAATGATTAATCATAGAATAAAGAATATCTTGTTATTTGAGTGTAAATTTTGAAGTAGTCCAAGTTTTGTGAGAATGCTCGAATATTTACCGGGTCCTTGGACGCAATATTAGATAAGCCCTGTAGCTCTCACAGAATGAGTTGTCCTGATTTAACTTCTTGATCAGAATCATGAGAGTATCACATTTTATGCTCATTTTTAGAGTTGATAGGCTAAGATCTGCCATTGTTTACTGGGTAATTTGCCCGTTATAGTTTCAATTCTTACTGCTAATGCACAACGAAGACTCCGTACACTATTACTGACATCTTACGTGCGATTGCTGCTAGAATACTTGCGACGTGTAACAATAGGCAGTCTTAAATGTGCTATATATTGTTTAAGTTAATCTAGCGTTCATCAGAAATAAATTTGAAATAGATAGGAAAGATTTCATGGATCCTATATAAACATTTAAAACATTTAATCAAATCTTGAATTTCTCAAAATCAAACATCAATTTTTCGAAGGCTTTCTTGAAATACATATAGCATACTTACACCAATCAAAAACTAAATGCGCTAATATTACGGATAGTAATTAAAATTAACATGTGACACTACAGTAATCAATTATTCTATTAGACTGGCACGCGTTATAGTAGTGTTAGTAAATATATGTATCTTGTCTTACGCGTATGCCTAGCCACATTATCATTATTCGCTTTCACTAGTAAACGACTTAGAAGCGTACTAGAATGAGCTATTTTGTGGATAAACGGCATTTAATATACTGGCAATCACCATTCATCGGGAAATTTTTTACCGACGGTTATCGACAATTGGGCAATTGTCTGAGATAAACGTGAGTTACATCTGCGTTGGCTTATCAGAAATAATTTTATAATTGATATTTTAACGAACAAAATCGATTGCGTTATGTACTATCTTACATGCTTATAACAATGTATCAATCTTAAGCTTAATTCATTTAACATAGTCGATTTTTGTTGTCGTTGATCACCGGATGGAAATAACAGAACAGAACTGTACTACGTATTTTTAAATAATTTTTGCAACATTCTTTATAGCATCATACTAGATAGCTACTTAAGAAAAGAAATAATGACGGGTTAAAGCGTGATAAATTGGCTAGTCAATAAAGGTATTACGAATGCAGTTAACAGATAATCCGGCAGTAAGTACACTGATTTACCTGCATCAGTATTTAAACAATAATAGCAGCAAAAAACAACGTAGATAGTGAAAACACAATATAGGTAATACACTTATACTACATAATGAGTCGTAGCAAGTGAGTGTTAATAATCACTACAGTATCAAGTTATATATATATATACATGGGTGATGATGTTCAATTAGTAGAATTGTTTCTATTTAGCATACGATGAACCATAGTATCCATAACATGAAAGAATTTTTGATCACTTGAGTCAGCAAATCTCACTGCAAGTTTACGAGGAGACTGTCCACTACTGTTAGTCATCCAGGTCTTACTATTATTTACACTGTCGTCTTTATTGGGTGTAGTAGAAAATGATAATGATAAATTATTATTTGATGATGACATTGAAACGTCCGGATGTCGAGGAGAAGAATGAGATCCTCCACGAGTGAAATAACGGCTGACTCCGTTCAGGAAATTTCCCTAAAATGGAAGATAATACGAATAAAACAGTATAACAACTCATAATGTATAATTATACAGGGCTAACGTAATTTACCAATTCAGTACTGAGTTCCCATCGTAACATTTGTTTATCATTATGTGATACATCTGAATGACATAAATATAGAAGGGCTTGCGATAATATTAGTACTTGACAATTTTCCAAAATATATAAAAGTGCAGACCTAATAGCAGAAAGTATAGCTTAGGGACTTAGAAATTTGTAAGCAGCGGTATTTACGTTTCAATTAGGAATATTGAAATTTTCAGATTGATATTATACCTTAATTTGGATTTATGAGACACATCAACGCTTACTGACGAATTTAAATTCTGATTAGTGGGTGATTTTAATAATGTGGACCGATGATACTCAAGCTGTAAGAATATCAATGCACAGTATTACCATCTACATTATTCGACGCATAAATTATATGTGTTTCCAACAGAATTCTTAGATATGTCTATATTTAGCATCTTCGATAATACCTTATTCAATAGTGTTAGAGCCATAGTTTGACAAGCTAGCATTGCTCCAAATGATACAGGGCCATCGTCTTCTGCCGCAGGTGCATTATATGATAATAATAACATTGGCTTACGGTCTAATTGTTCAATGTTCTACAAGATAATAAAATTTTGTGTGGTCATCGATCACGAGGAACAAGTGCACTATGACAAGAATATAACTGACATTTTCTGTTACTAGGTATGTTAAATCCGGAGAAAATTGTCTCAGAGCGGATAGTCCTTTACACAGTATATTCACGAGGCTGGTAAATATATGGAGGAAGCAAGTAAACGACCGATAAAGCATTATGACCGCGATTTGCATATGGTTAATAAAATTTTATATACCAGATCTGAACTTTTTCAAATAAAGGCCGGATTTCTGGTGATATTTGATCTTCATCAGGTTCTTTCGAGAAAGAGACAGTCTTTAAATTTGTGGAAATTGGTATATGGTGAATAGATGTTCCAGGTTTCTTTTCGGGTGAACTATGCTGTAATAAATTCGTTAATAATTATAATGATTTACGTTAGATATTTTATAAATTGCTGCAGGCGTTTTTAAGGACCAGGGTAGCAAATAGTTGACAATACCTTAACCATATGATGTAGCAATTGCGATCTACTCAGTAAGATTGTACAGCTTCGACACAATGACATGATAGAAATCTTTACGATAAAGAAAAATATTTATATTAGAACTGAATATAGTTTTAATCTTTATCGCTAGAAAATTACCTGCATTCTGTTGAAAACAATCGGTAAATCAAATTGCCATTTATTTTCGAAATGAGCTAGTTGAAAGAGAAAGTTCATTATTTCTTCAGCTTCTTCCAGGCATTCTAATGATTGATTGTAGCGTACGCTAGCCAAAACCTGTTCGAATATAAAAAAATATGCCTACTTTAATCGCATATGGCTGGGTTTGCGTTGTTGCTATTACGCTAATGATCAAAATTTATGTATGGATAATGAATTGTAAATTCGTAACCTTCTCCATTCTCTCATAGTGAACGCCAACGAAATTAAAAGCATCTGCTAGGAAGCTATGGCGTGATATTCCAAGGAGTATACTCATCAGAGATATTCCTAATCTCCACGTGCGGCGCCATTCTGATTTGTTGTTGGGTTTCTTTTTCACTTTCTGTAGTAACATAATTAGACGCAATAAAGTATATTTATTCTTTATCAGGAAAATAATTACGAATTCAGCTTGTACGTACAGTTTCACTAGCATACACGCTGGCATCTTTCTTGGAAGACCATGAATCGATTATTGGTAAAGTATAGTTTTGTGGAAAATCTAAACATAGATACTTGCTAACGCCATTTAAAACTAAGGATTCTGCAGCCTATGCACAAAATCGAAATTTAATGTAAGAGCAATACGAACAGAGATTGGGAAACAATGTCGCTTTAGAAATACCGTCGGGGTTTTCTTCGTCATTTGAATGAAAAGACAAAGTGCTGCTTCAATCAGTTCTGCGCCATCATCCCGCTAATGAATCAAAGCGCAAAATTATAGTTGAAGATATTAACTATAATGACACACAACGCCCGAGCACTTACGTAATGATATAATATAGCGAAGTACAGTGATGAAATATCAAACCTGAAAACTAATTTCCATGAATTTTAACAGAGTTTGTACAACATTGTATTCGATTAATGTGGGTAGCAGCACTTCTAAATTCTGATGCAATTGTATAATTTCGCACAGGAGGTATGTCGACGTTATAGGTAGCTTCAGTAGATAAAAACTATGAATTACGTTCTTGTCGTTTGTACGTTCATACAACAAAGCTGAAATAGTAATATTACTAGTTACGGCTTACTTTGCTTTTCTTCGTCTTTGCTTTATCAACACTTTCTTTGAATTCTTTAGAAGTAAGGATTTGTAGATTGCTTCTTGTATTTTTAATATGATCTTTAACGATTTCTGAAATCATTGCCTTTTCTTCATTTTTATAGAATGGAGGAAAATTGTGACGCTGGATTGTTTCACATACAATATTCGTTAAGTCCAAAAATGTCACATCTCTTAGTTGACCTATATTAAGATTCAGTTAAGTAGTGAAGAAAGTAAGCTGGACATTAAAGCGGTAGGAATTTAATCTTGATGGCTTACTATTTTTGCTATTTCGTACAGCTTGAAATAACTTTATTAGAGCAGTGAATATCTGTGGCTTAATAACGTCTGGCAGGCTAACATCTGCTTTTATTGCATGCAGTAAGACTGAAGCCAACTTCTCAATAAACAACTCTGTTGATTTCCCTAAATGACTATAAAATCGGCCATTAGTAAATTAATGATGCGAGCTTAGGCTAATTGCTTAAGAAAGATCCAGTTTGTATTCATAATTTCAATATAACAATTTTTTAAATTTTAATATAGTTGTTCGATCATTGATCTTACCTAGACCACAAGTTTATCAAAATATCCAGTAAACATGAAAGTTCGTACACAATCGATAGGTATGAGCTGCTGGATTCTCTAGTTAACTATCAAAAATAGAATTTATTAATCTTGTGCATAGTCTACATTTAAGTGTTGACTCGAATTTACCTGATAATCTAGGCATTCAATTATTTTATTCAAGGTATCTAGTTTTGCACTATCGTTGATTTCAATTCCGTCAACCTGTTACAAACGAAATCCATTGACAGTTATACATTAAAAGCAATACAATTTTATAAGATATTGAGTTATTACTGTAATTATCTTTACAACGGATTAAATTGTGAATCAATTAAAATACCTTCGAAATTATAATAGTGAATGTCCTCCAACATTTCAATAACGTTTGCAACTGAGACGCCTTATCAACTTCGAAATCATTTAACGTCAACTCTAATTCGCCTTCACACTCTATAGTCGTGTTTGTAAGTAACTAAAGTACACATTAAGACATTTAATACATGTAGGTTAGATTTACCCGTCCATCTTAAGAACGGTAAAGGTATTGTGATGGATAAGAAGAACGGATTGAGGTACTAACGTTGCCTGCTATCAATTCCGTGCTTTTCTTAAAGGCGTCAACGAAGATACTTCTAATAGAGGTATCCATTCCAGATAATTTAGAACTTGAGAAAAGAATAATTGAGAATAGCGTTGTCAACAATAACAATCTCCTAAATCAGTTAGAATCACAACTGGGAGTTAAAACCTGGGTAAAAGCGATAATTCTATTGCCATGATTTGCAACGTATACGCAGATGCTTTAATATGGCAACCAATTTCCTTTACGAGAAGGTAAAGGTAAATATTTAATTATGTGTACTGCATTTACATATATATTTATATTTGTGCTCCACTTCAAAAAGTGGAACAATATTCATATTGAGCCATTTCAAATCGTTGCGTACTTCATTTGATTGTGTAGGTAACTTCTTCAATAATGCGGCTAAATACTTCCAAAAATTCGGGCTGGAAAAGAATTTTATAACAGGATTCAACATGTATTTTAAGCACTAAGGCAATATGTAATCAAAATAGCAATAATTTAATATCCTTACACGGCCCTCAAAGAATCCAAAGCGAGCACCCGATGATCCTTCCATACGTAATATAGGAGTTCCACGGATGAGCACAACAACTGGTACGATGCCGAAGGTTCGCTGCTACCAGACGATTGCGAGGTTTCAGAATGATCACGCAGCAACTGCGTTACGAAACTTAAGCAACTCATATCATTAAACCGAACGCAACGTATTCCATTACTTTTTATCGTTTCCTAGTCATTAGCATATAGAAAAGTGTTAATTAAGTGAGTGAAATTAATTTATCGTAGTATAAGGTATTTACAATTACATTTTCTTCCGGTACTTCCAAATTCATTAGTAATACTACCAATCCGGGTTGTGTTTGCATAATAACAATAAGTACTTCCAATATCGCTTCCTTAACTTTCAAGTCCTAACGATTTAAGAACTCTCTTAATTTCGAGTTCGAATTAATTTAAGTTTTTAATGAGAACTACGTTATTACTATACTATTACCGTGTCTTTCATTCGTAAATGAGAGATGAGAAGATCTCTTAAAGTTTCAGCATCATGTCCCAAATTTGCGTAAATAGACATCGGAACGTTCTTTTATAATAATCATAATTAAGAATGTCATCACAGATTACCGTTAAAAATGCAGATATTAGATAATGATATAATTGAACGATCGCAAATTATATAACTATATCTAACCAGACAAAGATTCTTAAATAAATTCAGAGCAATTGTTAAGAGTCGCGGGTTCCAGCGGCAAAACAAGTATGAAGACGTTGATAATAACAATCTGTCATGCTCTGCTTTATACAAATTACAATAAATGATGGTTACATGAAAATTTAAAGACAACACGAAATTTATAGCGTGTGCACTTATGAAAATCAACTAACCTCCTGGAAATATGCAAGTGTCCATTTCTTTTTCGTTGCTACCTTCCCTGGTTAAGTTCGAAGATTTAGGGATCTGCGTAATAAAAATCTTAGTAGTTTATAAACTATTTGAGAAATTTTATTTATAAAGGTTTTACAAAGGTTGTTGCTAACCGATATTAATTCGTATAGGCGTAAAATAATTTTGAGGGTCGACTTTAAAATTTGAACAGGCATAACGTTCCTTTCACTGTATAAAATGTATAAGCATATCTTACATTGTGACCAAATAGTAGAATCTAAGGCATTAACAGAAGATTTTAATACCTGGGTTGATAACTACGAACCATGCTAGTGCCGGCAGATAAAATGTTTACCAGTTTAACTAGACAATTATCGCATTTTCGTACAGTTTGAAGAAAATAACTACTTAAAGTCGTTAAATTATTAAAAATTGATGATTTCATTTCAAGATCAGAGTGGAGAGCAATTTCAATAATTTCCAGGCATAACAAACCTATCCAGCAATTCAAATAATGGTTTGAGATGTTACATTTTTGTTCAGTACTACAACGTCATAAATTATTTGCCTATCACTTAATCGGACAAAAGGTTACCAATTTGTTCTTGCTCCCTCGGATCGCTGAAATTCCAACGATGTAAATCCGTAAAAATATGAATTACTACAAAATTAATTGTGGCTAATAAATCGGTTTGGAAATTGAATGTGTGATCTTTTAGATTGCTATTTCCCAGTGTCTTATACTGATCGTGAATTGATAACAAAGAATCTCGAACAAGGGTTAAGAAGTTTAAAGTCATTGAATAATATCTCGCTCGCTTTTCATATGCTAGTATTATTGAACCAATACTTCCACCATCAAGACTGTAAATAAGATAATTATTTTGGTATAATTACCAAGGTGTTAAGAAATATTGTAAAATAAGGAGAAGAATGTCTATACCTAAACGGATCATTATAAATATCACTTGTAGAGTAAGGCAAAAATCTTGTATGAATTAAATCCTCAAAAGCCTACATAATTAGGAACAAAGTTAGAATTCAGCGTATGTAGTTAACTGCATCAGTTGATTAATTATAAAATTAATGAAAGGCTTTTACAGAGCTTAGAACTAATGAAAATTTTTCGTGAAATAGTTACCTGTAGCGGCTCGTGCTTTATTGTGGTAACAATGCAACTTATACACTCCGTGATTAAATCAGATGCTGGCCAAGGCTTAAAGTAATGGCAACGTTCAAGGAATATGTAAGCCCGTGAAATAAATGATGATAAAGCACCAATTAATTCCCAGTTACTATCTAGAATAGATCGTACGAGCTTGATAATCTTCTTAACATAGTCGATTATGGGTAACTTGCTAATAGCGATACCTACGTTTTTTAATATAGGAATGGAGAGCATGCATATTATTGATCATTTGATAACATATATATACGACGTAGAGATACATCACAAGACATACTTGGATCTTGTAACTGGCTCAAGCATATATCTATCTCAAGAATAAAAAGCTTCCATGTTGAGTATTCAACTGTCCAAGAAATCGCTGGTTCACCTTTATAAATATGCATCAGTTATTAAATTAATGTCAATAGTAACGTTGAAACAGATATTATTCCTGTATTACAATAAATTGTAGCTTGCTACGCTTGTCTGCACGGTAAATAAAAAATATTTTACTGCATGTTTAATCGGTATAACAACAAGCAACCTTGTAGCATAGTTTTGCCGATAGTTCCCTTCGATATCTTGAAATTAAAAGGATGTTCTATTGCTATGACACAAATAATGTATTTTACTTAAAATGTAGAAAAATATAGCAGACTTCTAACACTATTAGGCTTTTTGTGAGCCATATAGCATACAATAGCACTAACCTTGAGGGTAGATGAACTTATCTTCTAATAGTTTCCAAATCGTGCCATCATCAGAAATACACTGAATCTGCCCTGAGCGCGTATCAGAAAGGACCTCGGCATACGTAGTTGCATGTTCCAGTATGGCGTATACCTTGTCAATTAATTTATATGTAACTGTCTTAGAACCTATTCGTGTAGCCAGGGAAGGTTAAGCGTTATAGTCACAAATAACGAAATTACCTCATTGGCGTTATTACCACTAGTTTTTGCAATCTTGGATAGCATATCAAAAAACAGCTCGTGATCGAACGGGAATCTAATACAAAAAATGAATACGCCATTTATATCGGGGTAAGATTACTATAATAGAATATATTATTATTTGCTAGTCGAACCGGTTCCGTAGTGAAAACAGTAGTAAGGCCATAGTATTTCTCCTTCCCTGTAAAAATTGTCTAGTTAAAATTTGCAAACGTTTAAACATTACATTCTATTTGGGTATACCGGTTTGTAAAGGCTCCATGATATCTTGTCCGTAATACAGCATATCAATAATCTAATTATTGTCTAATAACAAACATATTCATGACAATTATAATCATTAGTTAAAGGATCTCTTGATTAAATAACTTAAAAAGCCACCTAAATATGTTTTAAAATATGTTGTTACAATTACCTCCGTATCACCAAAAGTATCATTATTGAAGACCATAGCAGACGAAGAGACTAAATCATACACAATTGATTTCCATACGAAATCCTACAAAGTTGGGTTTTAGGGCAAATGGTTAATTTTATTCCATGTATGACAAAAAATTTATAAATGTTAAATTTTTAATATTACAACCTCAATAAACCAGTCACTTTTAACGATATTTCCAAGGAAGCCAAAAACGTCAGCTTTTTGTGCTCTTTTGTTATAGAGCTCGATGGTCTAAAGAAAATGTTTCTGAATTACTGTGTAAAAAGCAACTACTGGGTGCTAACCATAAAATATCCTCAATATCAAAGCATACGTATATTTAACGTACGAATACGGCTATATAATATAATTTAATTTTACGCATTACGAAAATTACATTTTGGGGAGTTGGATCGTTATCGTCAACACAACACTTCGTAACCCAAGCAAGTATGATCGGGCAGACTGGAATCTGATTTCCCAATTCTTGAAACATGTTTTCTAGTTCCTACAGCAACAACCGTGTATTTGAGATTACTGGACATAGCGAATATTAAGACGTCGTGGATTAACATTAATTAATTGATGTATGATAGAGTCTACAAGTGTAGGGAATATATTACCTTGGACATATTCACATCCCCTAAAGGTCCAACGAGCCTACAGTTATAATGTTATATCATGATTTATAAAGTTAAAACTGTTACAAAATTTAAGAAGGAAATAAAGGTATAAAACGAAATTCGTTGTATAAAGATATCCATGCCATTATTAAGAATTAAAAATACCTTGAAATTGTGCCATCACAGTACTCACGAAGGCATCTTATACCTAGCATTCTTAGTAGAATTAAACCTGAAGCGTAACTAAGAGAAGTAGATCCACATGTGTTAGCTTAACTAACTCATATTTTTGCATTATTACAGGATAAAAGAGACAATTTGTTTAAAAATAGATTTTATTTTTAATTACCATATTTTGTCTTGCCGAAAGCAGGCATCGTTATTATAATCTATGAAAAATCGATATGGCAAATGCGTTCCAAATTTTGTAACCTAAATATGAATTTGATGTTACATAAGTATTTTGGGTGTAAAATAGATCATTTTTATAATGTCCATTATTACAGACCTTTAAAGCATCGATAAACTGCTTAACTGTGACATCGGAAGGGCACTCTGCATCAAAGTGATAGGCCATAACGTCCAGTAATACATTCTGTTTAAGGACATGAAATTTTAAAGTGATATTATCTTCCTAATTACTAACTTTACGGGTAATTTTTCAAAGATAATGTAAAATATAGGCTGTCATACCAGTTCGTTTATGTACTGTAGTGCCCATTTAGATGACCACTCTTTGATCTATATTTAATTACAAGCCGAAAATATGTGATTCGATTGTTTAACATTTAATAGCATAACTTTACGATTTCGAAACTATAATCCAATACGCGTATAACTCGTTTTACCATCAGCTTCCCGTTTGCTTCTAGTGTTGGGACGTCGGCTTTAGACAGGAATGAGAATTGTTCTACGAGCTATTATTGTTATGAAAAATAAATTTTCATCACCTTAGTGCAATTTGAGTATTTACAATATCTTAGAGGCGAAAGCTATTAAACTAGGGAAAATAACCTGCTTCTCTACATTTCCAGCTTTCAGTTCAAGGCAAAAATTTCGATAGAATTGCTAAAATGAAATAATTATTGGGCGATATCTAATGTTATCTTTGTTCAAATTTTAATTACTATTTCTATTCCAACGATGATAATATAGATGCTTTAATGTACAACCTCAGAATTGTTTCCTCCTTTGCGAGTAGCTGATATCATTATACACTTTAACGCTCTGAGGATGTAAAGTCTTTCATCCATATAATATTGCATAACCTGCACAATTGTTGTAAGCAATGACGGTGGTAAGAATATGGAAGTTATTTTGACGTAGAACTAAAATTTACTCTGCTTTTACATTGACAGCGAATTCATCTCTCTTAGTTTCATCTTCAAGAATTGCCTAATATTTCAAGAATTAAGAAATAATCAAGTACATTGTCATCATTCTTAATGTTACTGCGTGCAATTATACGGTTTGTAATAGTTTAAAATGGTAATCAGCAAGTTTGTTTGATTATATGATTACTATATAAGGAACTTTTGCAAAAATAACGCATGAAGGCTGATTTACTTCATGACCAACCTTAATATTACTTCTTTTTCCATCATAAGCGTTTAAAATGTAGCTTAAGGTTAGGATTAAGCTATTCCTTTCACTACAACTCTAGCATAACGGAAATATATATGAATGGATTACATACACGATTGGTAATTTTAATGAGATGTAGAAGTATTCCGCTTTTTTTCATACTGTCAGTGTTAAAGAATTGTATTTAAAAAAATAGTGATATCTATCTCACCAATAAGGAGCTGACAGTTTTGACGAGAGCTTGTAAATCTTTATTCTCTTTCTTGTAGTTGATACTTTTGGCATTTACGCTGCGAAGGTATTATAGTAAATTATTCTTGTTTCAATATTCATGATACAGCAATATAATTACTGATAATAAATTGATAATTGGCTTAAGCTATCATCTACAGATAGCATTTAGGCTATTTTGATTAGCTAGTAGAGAAGTCATCAACCTCGATATATTGATATACTTCACACCAAGTAGCAATCGAGCCTTGTACGCATTCAGCTCTTGTTTCTAAAGGTGTTAAAAATGGAAAGATTATTCGCATTTTTAAAAGTAAAGAATATTGCATACAACGTAGAGCTCTTTTAGGCCCAAAAATAGGAAAGATGCCTTGTGAGTTAAAAGTTGCACTTTAAGCATATATACTATCTGAAATTTCATCATAACAGTTATACTCGTATCAAGCAGCATTTGATGACGTTACTGTAGAAATTAATTAAAGTACTATATAGCATATCACAGTTAGAAGGATAAATTAGGAGTTAGGCTATACACTGGAAAGAATCAGTCATTCAATGAAAGTGCCATTTAACCATTTTAAAAGACAGTAGTCCATCCAAGCAATACAGTATACACTAGACGATGCTATTCCAATAAGGTGAAAACGATTGACTCACCTGATCAATGATAGCCTGACTTTGCTCACTGACGAGCAGCCATAAATTGCGATTGCATCTAAGAGATGATTGATAATCAATTACAATTAAATCTGTTAAGGATATGAAGAAGAATGCTCTAAAATTGGTTAAAGAATCGATTGCAATTACAGTTGTGCTTCAGTCAGCCAATTTTGGCTATTATCTAACAAACTTTCCACATCGAACCCTGTTAATGCTTGTGATACCGCCATTTTATTTGGATCCAGGTTGATGGAGTGCGCATGGGTACTCTCAGCTGCCCACTACAGTATAACCAGTGTTTACTACCGCTAGTGACACTGAGCGCACGATACCATCCGTCTACAGCACAGTACCGTGGTGTTAAGCATACGGACTCTTAATAATTTTTGTAGTCCGATATTACAGTATGGATTTAGCTTGGCCGGTGTGTACCCGGTGAACATGGACGTTGGTATATTTCAATGGTTCAAGTACTGTAAGATCAGTATTTCTCATTGCATGTACCAGTGAGTGATAGTTTGTATTAAAGTTGGAAAATTTTCAAGAAATAAAATTACTCAATGCAGTACTGCAATAAATAGTGCTAGAAAACATCAAGAGCCAAATCAGCCAATATTGGCAATAGCTCAAGGTTGTACAGATCTATCTGCGTAGAATTTGAGCCACATTGAAATTGTATTTCCTTTTAGAGACATCATTTAAAGGCAACACCCTAGCTGAACAAATCAGAAAATGTTCAGCTACAGTATTGCCTTCAATTATGATTATTGTTCAGTCAACATCTTTCAATCATACTGTAGTGTATTATACTGTATCAACGTCCATTTTATTTTACTTATTTTAGACCTTCTATCTACGCGCACACTGTCTCGCAACAGGGACTTCTCAACGATTTTTCTTCTCCAATAAAACGAGACGGGGAAAAGAATCGTGGAGTAGTCTCTTGCTCGTAGCCTTGCCATTACAGTACATCGATGACTAATTACAGTACAGTACATTCACATTCAGTACTGCTTTACAGTACTGTGCACTGTACAGTACAGTACACATTACTTAATCACCATGGTAATTTAGTAGGCCATGCTGCAGTCATCGACTACTACAGTATTGTGACCGGTGCCGGTAGAGTCAGTGCACTGAGTTTTGCGAGTGTCAGAACTCGCCTGAGTTACTGTACAGTACAACTGTCCATACAGTAACTCGGGCGAGTTCAGTACAGTAGTCGAAAACGATTTGAGCAAAAAGTTCCAACTACTTGAAACAACTTTATATCTATAGTGATTGATTGTTGGACTAGGAATTTATATTCCTGAGAAGAGAATAAATTCAGGTACACTGCTCTGGGTAAGTCAAGATGGCGATGACATGGTGGAAAGTGCCCTTGATAATATGTAGTATACTTGTGTTAGGTATATTCATAAGCTGGAGTATTTTCAGTAAAACGGATAATTATAATCTGGAATATTTTGGGCTATCCAGGAAAATTGCAACCACAAGTAGCTACAAATCTGTATCGGCAAATATGACAGCGGGAAAGCCTCAAAATGCCACTAAGATGAAGCTGAAAGCGAGGAAAACCCCCCCACCTCCTACATGTCGTAAAAAACCGGTTATTTTATTATGGACTGGATGGTTTGGTGGAGATTGGGCGGTATCTCAAGGTAACGTGAAGTGTGGTAATATGCAGTGTGAAATAACTTCAAATCATGGTCGATATAAGAGTAGTGACGCACTGATATTTCACGGTGTTAGTCCTCAAGTAAGGAACCCGCATTATTATCCATCAAAAAGTAGTCGGCCGCCTAAGCAGTTATGGGTTTTTCGCACTATGGAAAATCCCAACATTGCAGAGAGACTAGGATGCAAATTATCATCATTCCATAATAACCGATTTCATGCAACAATGAGTTATACACGTCAAGCCGATGTCAGATTATGCTATGGTAAAGTGTTAAAAGAACCCCATGATGCTACTAACCACAATAGAAATTATGCTGCCGGTAAAACTAAATTTGCTGCTTGGGTATCAAGTCAATGCTATCCTGGCCGTACTAGTTTTGTCAAAGATTTAAGTAAGTATATATCTATTGATAAGTTCGGACGGTGTGGTAACCAACGTTGTGCAAAGGATGGATCGTGTATGAAAAGAATTGGATTACAATACAAATTTTATTTAAGCTTTGAAAACTTCATTTGTAGAGATTATGTAACAGAAAAATATTATCGAAATGCGATCGATAATAATTTAATCCCGATTGTAGTCGGTGGAGCAAATTATAGCGATGATGGGATTGTGCCGCCTCATTCCTACATCAATGCACAAGATTTCAGTACTGTTGAAGAACTAGCGAACTACTTGAAAAAAGTTGCCGCTAACGATACCTTATACAATAGCTACTTCAAATGGAAAGATTCTTATAAGATCCTTAGTCCATGTTCTGCTACCCAATCTTTTTGTGAATTGTGCCATAAGTTATGCGATGATAAATGGGTTACTGAGAAATCAAAGAAAACAATTCCTGATCTAACTTATAAATGGGGTGTTCACCGTGATAACTGTGTTAATTATCCTGACATTTTCCACAAGGGCAGTGACGGTAAAATTACTATTCATCCAAGAGTTTACTAAGATAAAAATTAAATACTGTTTTCATTGGCGAAATCCATTTGTACAACGTCATGTACTGTAGGGTTTTGGAATATATGATATCAATCACTAGATATTGTCCATTTTATGTATTAAAGCACTATTAGCAAATTAAAGCGGCTGCGATGCACTGTTAAAAACTCCATGAACGAAGAACTCCGTCTTCTGCTAGTTTGCACGTATGCACGTATAACGACTATGAAGATAGCAACTGTAATGCGGTACACCACGGCAATTTGTAACAATGTCTGATATTATATTGCCAAAACCGCTAGATCGTGATCAAGTGTACAAATATATACGTACTGTCAAATATTATTATAATTTATCAGAAGATGTTATGGACTCACTCAGTGACCAGTATACCGTATTACTGTATAATTTTTAAGCTACATAACAAGGTTGCAAATGATAGTTGTAACTTAATTCTATTATATGGATTGAAGCTTTGTAAGTGATTGGGTAATAGAACGTGTTATAAAGGTAGTAGTTTGATGTATTGGTATCTCAAATGACAGTCTATCATTGGTTATTACTAATTAATATTCGTATTTATTGCAATAGAATTTTTATGCCTGAGTCATCAAGCGATGATTACGTTTTTATAGCTATGATATTTAAAGGATTAGAATGTCCTTATACTGCATTATAACGAATGAATGTTAGCGCTTTGAATCTAAAAATGGCTAATGCAATTTTATTTACTTTTTATGACTGAAGGTAAAAAATGTCGAAATCTTATCAATACACTATTTATTTTGTCTCGGTACTCTCTCTAATTCTTGTATAGAGACATAACAATTCTGACTTTTTTTATAACATAAACCAAATAGCTTTACAACTATAGTGATACGTATTTATCAACTGGTTCGTTTTGGCATGGACTACTAAATACATCCCTGGGATGTATCTAGTAGTCCGTAGTTTTAGATAGGATATACGAGCTACTTTATCTCTCGAAAAATCTATTAAGCTAGTGAGCTTTTTTGGTTTAATCGGATAAAATGTATGAAATGATACTTAATGCAAGGCGGTTAAAAGATTTCTATTTCAATACTGCAATGTTTATATAATAACGATATCGAAGAGCTCAGTATGGAGGTTAAAAACAATACCAGAGTAGGCTACAAATTCAAAGTTATTTCTTCGGTATTGACACTTTTTGAAAATAATATGCGAATAGTTGTAGAATGTACAGCACCTATTTACTGTTTCGATTTTATCTTTCTACTGAATTGATCAATAGCGATAAGTACCATAATAATTAATCACAGTTATATACCTCTATTTTGCATGTTCTTGAAACTACAGTATATTTATGAACCGCAAATAACGATAATACCCACATGTTTGCACTGCAATAATCATTTGAATGGGCAGTCTACTAGTATTGTTTTATTACTATATAATCACCAACATCTGTTGGAGTTATTATGTTCTGTAATTGAGCAAGTTGAAAGTTATTTACAAAACTAGATTTTCGATGAGGTAGGTGTTGACAATAATTGTTGGAACAGTTTTATGCCTAGGTAAGTTCATTCTTTTGTACTTTAGTTCAGTCATTGTCAGATGATTGATTTCATAAATTTTTCTTGACATCGAAAAGCTAAAATGTTACATATATATGCCAGACAGTAAAGTAGTAAGTTAACGTGATTGCGTACTCTGTTAGCTGTACGTAAAAAGTGACTATACTATAAATATCGAATATCAAAGTCATACATTCATACTGGATATACACTAATTAATGATAGTTCAACAGTTTTTGCATTAACGCATCCTCCATTATTAAGAGTGATTAATTACTCCAACAGATACTTCAGTATTAGTTCATCATAATTTTTATTTTGCCGTGTCATATGTATCTACTATAGCCAGAAATATCGTACAATTTGTATAAAGCGACAATACAACGATAGGTACCTTAAGTTAAACAGTACCGGTCAACAGACAAAATATAATATACAATTATACATGCACAGAAACAGTTTTGAAATTAAATTCAGAAAAGAAATTTTATAATAGAATCAACCAGTAAGTACTGTAAATGTTTATATGTCATTTGTATAGAAGGATCACTATGAAAGAGACAAAATTAATCTAATTCTTTAGTAATTTAATTGCAGTTTACAAAAATAGAAACCATCGTAAATTGTATTAGTAGAATAATTCGATGTAGTAAAGAAGTTTTGCATAGGTATTCTAACCCCCAAAAATTAATAAAATAATGTTCAAAATTGCTTTGTGTACAGTATATTCATATGTAAATGAAACATAGGAGACGTTAACATCACAAAATAAAAATTAGTACTACAGTATTGTATATTAGTAGAAATGTCACAGTCTGAGAAATTGAAAATTACTCCTGTGCTAAGTATTGTTCCATGTCAATAGTAAGGAACATTTCATCTAGTGAAAGACTTCAGGCGGTATCACTATACCGTATAAACTGTATAGGGAAGATCCCTAGGCTAACAGGCACTTTTAAGCAAAGTAGAAAGAGCTTATTCGAAGATAATACTGTATCATATTTCTTTTTTTGATTCAATATTCCCGCACACCAGTGTGATATTACTAATACATACAAATTTTAGAAGACCAATCTTTCAAATAGGCATTACTGTATCTTTGAAAGCAAGCATGGACTGTGTGATTAGCGACTAGTGATGTGATGAACGATGAATGGCTTTACAATGTCGGCCTACAAAAGATTACACTTTTTTCGATCAATGCTAATGATATGTATCAACTTAATTGGTTAATAAAGTCAGTTTCAATCCTCTATTTTATTAGCCGATATTTGACTATTAATGTATCTGCCGTATAATCCGCACGTTATACATACGTATTGTCTTCATATTATGTAATTATTAACCAGGACTGAATTACAGCATTGCACTATTAGTGAGAGTTGTCAAATTCTGGTTAGGTTTATTGAATCCCTAATTGCTACCTTCTTAAATTTACCGTTGTCAACGCTTATCGATATCAAAATACACAGTTTCAATTCATTTCGCCATTTCTTAAAAATTGACAGCTTACTTTTGTACTTAGTTGAAAGAATACGAGCGGATATCAATTTGTCCAGTGGTTTGATTCTTGACGAAGACATTATTGTAATCAATACAATTCTTTTCGTTTGTACCCCATTTATGAGTGAGATCTGGAATTCTTCTCATTTTACTAGTAACCCACTTATCATCGTAGAGCTTGCGGCATAGGTTACATAAACTAGAACTATGATCACAACTCTTTAAGTCGGTTCGGTAAGAAGCCTTCCATTTAAAATAGCTGTTATACAATGTGGCATTGCTGCCAACTCTTTTAATATGATCAGCTAGCTGTTGCATAGTAGTGAAATCTTGAACATTGATATAAGAACCTGGTGGCGCTACGGTTGGATCACTATAATTCGCCCCTCCGACCACGATGGGTATCATATTGTGTTGATATGCGTTAAAATACAATTTTTCAGTCACATAATCTCTGCAAATAAAATTTTCGAGGCTTAAGTAGAATTTGTATTTCCGCGATAATTTTAGCCAACATGCACCGCTCTTAGAGCAAGTTAAGTTACCACATTTGCCGTACAAATCGATAGGTACCAACCTTGCTAAATTATGCAAAAAGTCTAACCGACCTTTATAGCATCCACTGCCGACCCAAGCGATCATTTTTGTTTTGCCTTTAAAATAATCATGATTTACTTGTAAATCAGTGTAATTTTGAACCACTCTGCCATAACATCTTCGAAGATCAGCTTGACGAGTGTAAGTGATCATTATATTGAATAGATTATCGAGAAAGGATTTTATGTCGACTAGTATAGATGGCCCTCGGGTGACATATGGATTTTCCATGGTTTGGAAAGCCCATAATTGCCTAGCTGGCCTTTTTTCGATTGGTATCACGTCTGGGCTATTCATCGATCCGTCAGCCCCATGAAATAACAACGCATCGCTCACTTGGTATAAACTTTTGTTGTTGGTAAATTGGCATTGATATTGACCGCAATCCAATAAACCATAAGGCGTTGGCCAATCGACTCGAAACCATGTCGTCCAAGTTAATATTATCTTACCAGTATGAAGTGTGGCTTTGGTTGTGTTGTCTTTTTTACCGGCTAGATAAGGATTAATAATGTTCAATGGATTTCGTTCCTGGTAACCAAGAATGACCAATACGATGATCGTCCATGCAAGGAGTATCGAAAATACAAGTCCTACATACCTCAATTTCTGAGACATTACTGGCATCATTGCTATCAGCATTCAACAGACATATACACGTATAGTCTTCAAGTTAGAAGGCGAAAATAGTCAAATTTCTCCAGATTATTTCTTCTTAAGTTTATATAAATATTTTATGGAGTAGTAATATTGCTCACGGAATTCACCAATTAAGATTAACTGGACCGTAACACATCGAGTAACGCGTGCGCATATCCTGAATTAAACCAAGTTCATGTGACAGGTCACAGGTGCTTCCTTTCTTTTTAATGGTCAATTTCTTTCTGTACAGTACAGTACAGTCAAGGACTAGTAAAAAAAGACCTAAACCCACGCGCCTCGTTGGCGCAGAGTACAGTACTCTAGAGTAGAGTAGAGTATTTCCTTGAAACTCAACTTAAGCCTAAAGCCGCAAATTTTTAGCCATTCGCTCGACTCGAACTTACTGTATTCTTCTGTCATTAGGTTGTAATCCAACCAACTCAACTCCACTCGCTATCAGGTTGAGTTGGGTTGAGTACTACTGTATAGTTTATAGTCGATTGATCCAGCATCGGTTTACAGCTATGAATACATCGCTAAAACGACTTGTATCGCTGTTAAAAAAGACATTTTCATTGATTTAATAACGACAAACTTTGCCATTTTTAAAATTCTGACGTCATACAGTGCTGTACTGTACTGTACACTGTACAGTAGGTAAGGTCAGGGACTACTGTACTGTACAAAAAAAGAATAGAGGGACGTAAAGCAATCGTTGACAATAGTAATAATAATGTGTGGTGGCCGATTCTTTTTTGAATAATTTCAATTGTATCGCATGTCTGTAAATTAAGGCACACTACCCCGTCTGCTATTGCCATCTTTAAATTAGCTACTGCTAATTTGGTTTGTGCAGTATGATCTACTGTACACTGTAGACTGTACACTGTACAGTACTGTACGCTTTGCTTGCTACGATACGGTACGATACAGCACCTGTACTGTACCCTACAGTACACGTTCGTAATGTAATGTACAGTACTGTACTGTACTGTACAGTACAGTACAGTGTGAAAACGTTTTGGTTTAAACTATGGACACTAGTTCGTTATTAACTCTCCATAGTATGGCGTTCACTAGTGTGAACGATGTACTCTTTCATACTGTACCAGTACTATGATTGTACTGTACCGCGAAGTCATCCATCAAGGAATCTACAATCCGGACATGGACTGTGACATCGGCAGTACTGTAGAAGTGGATATTATTTATACCTTGCATGGTGCTGCAATCCATCTTCGTCCATAAGTATATTTGGAACGCGTTCATGAGTAATCCATTATCATTATCGACTATATTAGATTATATGTTGAGCAATAGTGTCGTCTAGGTCAGAGCGTGAACAGTCCCTGGTACAAAGCTATTCATAAAACCTCCATTACAACGTCTTTGCATCTGTACATTGCGATTTCAGACATTATAATCGGCTTGATCTTACCTCATTTCACTTTCGTCAAATACTGCATCCAAGTCCAAAGACTGCTGGCAAGATGAGTGAGATAGTGAAAAATAGGGAGCAGCTATACAAGTTAATCATAAGGTAACAGGCTACAAGTCATCGATACTTGCAATATGCAAGTATACAGTAAAACCTAATATAGACTTGATGTACAATAGCCGTAAATGATAGTCATCAGCTTCAAGCTATACCTATTTAGGTGCTTTTCATCACCCTTGAGATGGTTTATAATGTGCAGACAACTCTACCATACTAGTGTACAATGCTGTTTACAGACAGACGTATTGTGCCTATTACCTACATTTCAGATAATTGTTGTTGCTATTTCATAGTCAGCTGCGCTACGATGGATATGAAGATATCGCAGCACTTGTTGGTAATACCGTTAATACACTGGAAACTTGTGCCCCATCTTCTAAATTATTCAACATTGTCTCCAGATCTCTAAGTAGTGAATCACAAGGTACAGTACTATCTATGGATGATCAATCAATTTCTTATGCAGGATGCTAAATTACGACGGTCATGTTGTACTGTGGATTGAGAAAGACTCATCCAATTTTTCTCATAATTATTGAAATACAATCTTATCCTAGTTATTGTACAAGTATTAGTATACTTGAACAATGTACGTACTCCAAACTGGTCGTCATTCATCACTGCCAATATTGTATACTGTATACTGTAGCTGATCATTTTGCTAACCTTCGTACAAATATTATATTAAAAATTAATTGAATTGCTAATCTTTTTAGGTCGCCTCGCTAATGTTGGAGAAGGAATTGATTTGGAATACGAAGGAGACGGTAGATTATATTATAGTCAGTTTATTTAAAGTGATGTATCGCTTACGAATTAAGTACAATCGGCTAATGTAGTATCAAGACTTTCGTACCGCAGTTTTGAAGCTACCTTTGCAACTAGTTTATTAGCTTGCTATGTTACCAGTTCATACAGCTAATGTTGATTGTTACAGTATTAGGCAGCATTGTTTGCTATCTTTTTTCAAAAGAGTTTTAGTTTCAACCTAAAAATGCAATCTTAAAAACAAAAAATGATTCATTAATAGTGATTAAAATAGCTCTTGCTTGGCTGATCAATCTTTAACGTGACTTTTTGCATTGGAAATCTTCCTAAATGTAGTCATCGTGAACTCACCTCCTGTGTTTATGTATGAAACCTGTTACGTAACTGCTCATAAAGCACCATGTCGGGTGGCATGCTTCACCAAAGACGGTAAGTTAGCATTTCGTATATTGCTTCGGCTCTTATAGAATTTCTGGAGATCTAAATGCTAGCTTATGTTGTCGCTTAGATCGCCTGGTCGCAACAGGATCTGTCGATAACTCAATCAAGGTTAGAATTTACTAAATTTTCAAAGCTGTAGCTAATGCAACATTAACTGAGCTAAAGTTCAATTTATATAATTTAGTTTCGTTGATATTGAAGTGATTAGGAATGATTGCCATCAAAAAGTAATTAATAAAGTTTTAACCTGCTACTATAAACAGATACTAGACGTTGATCGTATGATCGCTAAGGGAATATCTGATATCCCATTGAATGAACCGCAGCCACAGTCTGGACAGCAAATGGAAAGCCATCCAGTTATTAGGACTTTATATGATCACTCAGAGGTTAATAGGCTATACTCTATACATGTAGCTTAACATAATCTTTACGAATTCACAATTTCTTTGTTTAGGCTGTTACTGCTTTGGAATTTCATCCTAAAATGCCTATCCTAGCGTCAGGTAGCAGGGACAGAACTGTTAAACTCTTCGATTTCAGCAAACCTTCAATTAAACGTGCATTTAAATCTATTCAGGTTGTTCATAGCCTAGTCAATATACGGTATGTCGTACCTCCATTATAATTACAACAATTTTTTTTCGTAGGACGCCTACGGAATTCGATCTATTTCTTTTCATCCTACTGGTGATTATTTATTAGTCGGTTCCGAACATTCTACAGGTAAAGAATGACATTATGTACAACAGAATCTATGCCTATTAATGTAATTGTTATGCTACTACTTCACAAAGATATTTAAGGCTGACGGACTTTAGTATTGACAATGATTCAATAATGATTTCTAGTGCGGCTCTATGATGTTAATACTACACAATGCTTTGTCTCATCTAATCCTCATGATCATCACGTTGGACCTATTACAATGGTATGAAGAAGTGTTTTATTCCGTTACATTCGTAGTAATTATAACTCTGTCAGTAAATTATGTTTATGTTGTAATCGCTAAGGTTTCTTATGCTCCAAATGCAAAATTATACGCCACAAGTAGTAAGGATGGGTCTGTTAAGGTAGAGGTTTTATAAAACTTTACACCTGTAGATTTCTCCATGAATTTACAGTATTCTATACGTCAAATATAGATATGGGATGGGGTTAGTTGCCGATGTATTATTACATTTGGTAAGGCTCATAATGGAGCTGAAGTATCGTCTGTGACATTTACTAGAAACTCAAAGGTATTTCATAATGTATTTCAATTATAAATTTATTAGTTGCTAAAAAATTTTATTTCATGCAGTATATATTGACGAGTGGTAAAGATTCAACTGCTAAGCTATGGGAATTAGCTACAGGTAATGGAAAATATCAAATTTGGATAGCTGTAATTTTTTATTTTATAGTACAGTTCTGTTAATTTACGTCACAACTGTTTAGGTAATTGTATGAATATCTACGCTGGAGCTACTCAACATCATCATCGCACACAAGCTGTATTCAATCAGTCAGAGGATTATGGTAAACATTTGATGGATATCTGTTTTAATGTAAATAGGATGCCAATGTAGCGAAATTAGCAAACGAAAGCAAATTAGTTGTATTATTGATCATAAAATGGGACCCGTTAAAAACTGCAGTCTACATTTATTTAAATGGATAGAATATTAGCTAGATTATGTGTTGTTTTCTAAAAAATAGAAATAATCAGCCATGTATATATTTAGTTTTATTACCAGACGAGAAGCACAATTCTGTATATTCATGGGATGCACGAACTGGTGAGAAGCAGAAGAATTTAACAACTGGTTAGTGTTAATAAGACGAGTTTTTATATTGTATGGATCATGCTTTGTACTTAAATCATGTTATCGCAAGTTGTTGATAATTAATTAGTTGCTGCTAAAGGTTAGTTATTGCTGTCTCATATTTAGGTCACAATAATATTATCCGTTGTATATATCATGCCTCATCAATACCTGCAATGGTTACTTGCAGCGACGATTTTCGAGCTAGGTTTTGGTATACGAAAGGAATGGCTGATTTTAAGATGTGAAGGCTGGTGTAGTTATTTTATTTGATGTACATTGTTTACTTCGAATGATATATTTCGTTAAACATAGGTGTTAGCTCGATCCTATTGCTGCGCTTTCGTGACAGTAAGGTTATATAACATCGGAGATGTTCAAAATTTTGTATATTATTTGTTAAAATTAAATGCCTTCGATGATGAATAAGAGCATCATGAAAATCCCCTAATTGCTATATCCGCTTAGTCTGAATACAAGCGTCCGTGTTGTAATTAGGCATAAAGAAGAAATCGTCATTACACAAGTTGCATATGCTTCTTAAGTCCTCTGAAGGAAGGAACTGTATTTATGGCTAGGCATTTTTGAAGCCTAACTATTTTTTACTACGGAGAGGACGTAGTGCTATAAATGCGCATAGTGCAGTATCCGCACAATGAGCCAAACGAAATACTCCATAATTATAACATTATGTTATGGAATTGTATTTAAAATACAGAGACTCTGCATTAATCTGTAAATTTAAATTATTAGCTATTTTCTATCGTTTGTACAGTTATCCTCGACTGTTACTCTTGAAAGTACTACAATCAACGAACGGATTTTATATAGATTTTATGCAGCAATGGGACAATGTCTATATGCAAAACTGTATGCAATAATAATCCATTATGTCGAGATGTGATAGTGTAAGATAGATAACAGTCAGATACATGCCTAATAAACTGCATTGATGTCAGAAACGTTCATTTCGTAAGTTAAAGTTTCAACAATTGAGGTATACCTGATATACGCGGAAAATTAGCCATTATCATGAAATTTTAATAGACAGCTGAATAATGTCTATCTTTAAAGCCTTTATAATAGTATAATTATACAGTATCATTAATGGCAGTTATTGTATATCGTTCTGCTAAACGATGCTTTCATCTAACTGAAAACTTTAGCAAAATATCAATCTCATGTACAGTATTTAAAGATATGTCTGTGTGCGCTGAGCCTTGTGTTGACAAATATTACAAATAACAAAACTGTAAAACTGGCAGTGTAACAGACTAACAGTCATACAGTGTTAATATTGCGTATTTTTGCTACCTATCTATTAACTGAAGGATTTAAGGTATAACTTAGGGAGATACTAAAAGTGCAAGGTACTTTCAAATTATTTCGACTAACGATACTTTAATAATAGTAATGATGTTCGATATTTTAGCAGAATTATTCTTATGCTATATACTGGTAATCAATAATGGATGATTTACTAGAGTACGTCAGAAATGATCCAAAATAAGTAAATTTTGAAGCACTAATGCACAAAAACACATGACACGAATTGCATGGTATTGAAAGAAATAATTGAATTGATTACAGATAATGCTGCAAAGAATATCATTAGCAACTAATACATTATAATCAGTGGCATGTAACAGTTTTAAGCCTCAAGTCATTCTAACCCTTAATTACTGCATTATTTTAGTATTGTACAGAAAATGTTAGATTTTGTAATCAAAAATTATTTTATTAAAAGACAAATAAATTAAACGCATTCTGTATTGATTAAGCAGGAATAATTTCGTTTCACAATTTGGTAGTGCAATTATTGTAATAGCAAATTTGATATAAGTCTATCGAACCGATTTTAATTTGAACATTCACACAGAATGCAGGAAAATACTTGTGTCTATGTATGTGTCACTTATTCTGTTACTAATAAATAAGGAAATATCACTATACCGAACCACTTAGAATATTCTTCAATAAGCCTTTAATTGAGCAAATTTAAGCGAAGTAATTTTTCAATCATTTCATCATGTTGAATCTCTTCTAGAGAACGATGTCTATGATTGCATGAACAGTAACGATGATCATTTTGACCATTTTTACTTAAGTAAAGCAAATATTTACCATCACATACCTCCATATCTTGGTAACAATCATCATTGGCTATAGTTTTCAAAGTATCAAATGAAGATGGACTATTATTAACATTATTGTCTGAAAGTGGCTTGGATGTAGCACCAGTAGTTGCATTAAATTCATCGGTATGGACGATTGAGTCATTTACTGAAAGTTCATTGATACACTGTAAACATTTTTCATATTCATCTGTTGACATATCCAGTAGTGATAGAAGTGTATCAGTGTTTTCTCTACCAAATAAACTTTTGTCGCTACACGATAAAGACGACGATGGAGTTGGTCTTTGATCTAATGTACGATTTACCAATATTTTAATTATATCTAAGCTGCACTTGAAGAGAGAACAATGTTTAGATGTCAATATACTGTGATTAGTCTCACATTGTTGAAGCTTTGATGTACTGTTGTTGATATTAGCATGGTGATGATTATTACTCTCAAGCCTGCGATAATTTCCTTTATTAGGATGAACATCTAACTTACGATAATTTCTTCTAGTTGGATTGCTGATTGGTCTTGTATTAGTCCTGATATGGCTATAGTAGGATGTTGAGTCCGCTTCTTTTATGATATTGCTTTTATTTTTATTCATGTGACATTTTGTCTTGATTGGAGTAGATGCTTGAGAGCTATGGCAGTTACTACTTGTACCTCCATTAGAATGGATATTTCTATTAGCTAGCTTTCTATCAAATCGATCTTTTAAAGAAATTCTGGCCCTTTTATGATGACTACTGATATTAGGCTCATTTGTATTAATGTCTTCTTGATGACTGTCAATACTTCGCTTTTGGGAACTATAGGAAGTATTATTACCACTGGTATCATTGTTGCTACCGTCGCCATATTCCGTTTCAGAATCTGAAGATAGGGCATTGTAATCGCTATTATTGCAATGGTCATTGCATTTACCTCGATTACCATAGCTAGTTTCACAAGAATTGATCTTACGCAAATTATCATAAAGTTTTGATTTCTTTCTAACCGGCGAAAGTTCTCGATTATGACCTATTATAGCTTCATTTAGTAGTTGTTTTAAACAGATATTTTGTTGCTTAAACATTTTACTAATATTTAAAATAATCGACATGATGTTAATGTGATCAAAATCGCAATGACAACCTTTCATTCGTTGAGATGCATTATATTTGTTTACGTTTGCATTGCTAAATTTACTATCAGAAAGCATGAAATCTTCACTGTTTCTATCAGATTCCATTTTACTTCGTTTATAAACAGTGTTACTGGCTTTCGTATGGCTGTCTATGATATTATTTTTGTCTTCACAGTTATCTGTTGAGCAAATGTAGACCTCAGGATCTTCAGAGCTTTCGGAGTCTTCAGAATCTGATGATAGCGAAAGCAATTTCTCTTTTTCGGTAATAGCAGGAACAGAAATTTCAGGTGTAACTGGCACACGCAAGAAAGCATTTATCTCGCTAAAAGCGATATCTTTTACAGTATCAATATACTGACTGTTGGCTATGCTAAGTTTTCCAATTGAATTTTTACATATGGCGTAACTTGAAGTATCATGAAACCAGTTATTGCATGGAGTTATATTAGATATATCTTGGCCAATAGCAATAGCCGTTCCATAGACCCAGCGGTGAGAAATATTTTTAGTACTATAATTACCACCTCCCAATAGGAGGATAGGCATATTAAAAGATTTTAAAAATTGAAGGCAGCCACCATGTCCCTGTGGTGTTAAATGGTAGCCATTAGCATATTTTTCAGCTATTAAACTTTCACCGGATTGTAAGACGATAACTTTCGGCTGATAGCATTGTACGACTTTGGAAATTATCTAACACGAGAGTTAATCCATATAGTATTCTTAGAATAGGTTTTTTTATATCATAGCTCTTCTAAGTTAGTAAGTGAGAAGTTTGGAGTACTGTATAGTGTATGCTGCTACTAGCATAATTCTAGTCAGATCTATTCTAGCAGCTTTATTGTCTATCTACTACTTACTGGTTGAAAAATTAAACCGTAAGTTTCGTCATCGATATTATCCGCAAGAGGAATATTTAAAGAATACTTACTGCTTTGATTAAATCCAATTTGGCTAGATAAATATAAAAGAATATTTCAATACGTTTTTTTTAGCATACATTATTCGTATATCCTTTAACATGTCACTTATTACAAAATGACTGCAATGAAGCATATCATCAATGGGTAAAACTTAGCTAAAGCAATAATAGCTTTAATTTTTATAATATTATCAAACCTAATAATCTCAAATATTACTATAATATCTCCCATAAAGTCTGGAGTTATTATGCTTTCATTTTATATTAGACCGGTAATTAGAAATAATTTTTAGCATACGGTACAGTCAAGCGCGATCCTTTTTGCATATCAGGTACTGTAGTGGTAAATAGGTACCATAAGATTAAAATGATTGCTTTTGATTCTAAGATTTCTACTTACTTTATCCAATCATTACCCTGAAAATATTTGCTTTCGCAATGAGGGAAAGTAACAATCATAACACGATTATTTGTAGAAAATGCCTCTTGGATTGTATCACATTGATCAGGTCCAAGATTGATATAGATTACACGTTCATGTTGTTTTAATAGTTCTAATAGTGCTAATGCAACATCATTGATATAATTAAAACCGCAGGCTTGGCTAGTTTGAGCTTGATAGAATCCACCTAGAAGGGGAAATTAACAATTGATATAAGTAAAAGCAAGTTTTATGGAATCTCAAAGCATTTTTGCACTAATAACTTATACTCGTATGCTAATGTTAAGGAAATAAGTAAAAGTTGCGGCACTAGCACTCATATTGCCATTCAGACTACGCTAGTTGAACCTTGATCTGCCATGGTATTAATGATCGAGAAATTTATATGAAGGTAAAGAACGCGTTACTACAGGAATATCGATGTTCAGGAAGTAAAGCAAATTCCGTTACATGATAGATTAGTTACAGTAAGGACTTATTTCGTTATCTGTCTAGCCGAAATAGCTGCCTACATACAACAAAGAATGATGAGCAAGATGTTGTTGGAAGAAAAAAGAGTGATGAAATGAGATTTACAAGCAAGGTTTTAAATGCAAGCTGCATAGAATACAGCGTTTGATAATTAAAAGCTGATCGCTAAGGTCTTATTTCAATTTTCTGGATACCATTCCACTAAACCGAAATGAAAATGTAAAATAAATCGACGTTCAGATACCATATAAAAAAAACTTCATGATCAATTTGTTTCAGTCAAGTCTAGAAAATTGTACCGGATCAACTGATGTTCAGAAGACCTTTTTATGTTTCCTATGTATCTACTCTTGTCTTTGAAGGGATATGTATCAAGTACGATGAGTAAACTTGTCAGGGAGACGTAATCCTCTTATTGCTATATATAGCCTGTATTTTACTGATCTAATTATGGCGTCGATTTTTCAAGATACTAGACTTACCTGACCAATTAATAGCGATGTCGGCTTGGTTAGAATTCAGTTTAGAGGCAGCTGATACAGAAGCACTAGCTACTAACTGGCAATAATGCAAAAGCCCTTGAAATACCGGATAGTTATCGTCAACACCGAAATTTTGAACTTTTTCCCGTTTGGAACTTTCTTCTGCTCGTTGTAAAAATTGTAAGTAGGCCATCGAATGGAAACGATTGAGTTGCCGCAAACTAGCGGCTTGCGGTCGTAACATTTTCATTTTATGGTGTAATCCGTATTCAAGAATTAAGTCGTAAGTTAACTGTATTCTCATCGGATGGATGGGATGATCTTGATCAAGACTTGTACACCATGTAAATGGATGGTAAAAGTAGCAAACTCGTTTTCCACTCATGTTGATCGACCCGATATGAATAATTTAAATATCGACTGAAGATGTTCGCAATTTATTGATGGAGGTGAAAACGAAATAATGGAGGGTTTACTACCTCTATACTCGTTTTATATCGATTTATAGATTAGCACCTCTTATTCTCGATGATTATGATGAACATGTGAAAATATTTCATATAATCACATTCTCTACTCATACTCATGGATCTAAATAAATACCTATAACATCCACCGAAGATTTCAGAACGTATCTATGCTCCTTTCCTTTTTTACACCTACAACAGACAGCAACAATAAATGTGTGAAATAATCTATTCGCTATTCTGTAAATATGGATTGATTTTTGCCTTCTTTTAGTTTATACTAACGTAGTGGTGTATAAGACTGCTTTCCTGGGGTCATGTAAGCGAAAAATTTTAATATGGCTTTTTCTATCCAACCATGTAAAGTTTCAATTTCTCTTTATCCTCAAGATTGCGATCAAATAATTTACATCACGGGAGTTGTGAAGTTTTCGTATCGTGATTTACTTGATTTTTGGACCGAAAATGGCTTATAATGTTGTCTTAAATATTCTACAGTAGAAGTCGATGCTGGCGCTTGGATAAACTCGTATTTTAAAATTTGTTACGATTGATGTTGGCGTGATTCAATTTGACTATGCTATGGATGAAAACAATTATTGGGTCCATGATAGGAACAGATTGGAGTATGACCATAAATGCTATAAATAAGGTTCGGAAGGAAATGATTTCAGTCCCTTAAAGAAAGATTTTGATAAAAGTAGGTATCGTGGCAATTTACTAATAATCTAGATGGTAGTTCGTCCAAAAGATATCATTGGAGTATGATGATGGTAATATTACATTGAGATATTTACTAAGCTCTTCTGTCGAAAGTTAGAGTATTGACAAATTTCTGATTGAAATGGGTGGCTTCTAGAGGATATCTTGTTAATAGATGTGCAAGTCGATATGATCATAGAAGATATCAAGAAGGACGTGGTGGAGAGCATTTGGAACTTTTACATCGCCTAGAGTAGAATGAAAGTAATCCATAAACCTAGATTCTAGAGGACATTTTAGTAAATGATTAAGTGGATGATGTAAATAAGGCCAGATAGCAAAAGTTTCATTATACTACAGGAATTTTAAGGAGTTGCATGGCATAATGGATTTCTTCATTCAGGTCTATACATTTATGCTAGGCTATACCTTTCTATGGCCACTAGTGCATATTTTTAGTAATCCATGTTGGAGCTATGCTAAGTATCTAAAAATATACGAACAGAAAATGCGCATAAAGTATCATGAACAACTTTAATATGGCATGTCAGAAATGGCTTTAGCGTACACTTATATTACAATTGCGCAATGACGGTACTATATTTCTGGATATGGTTTTAACATATTCCATTCATTAGCCTACTTTGCATTGTATATAATCTAGGCTAGATGTAGCCAAAGAACTGTGTGGATATTTGAAAGTTTTATGTGTTACTTTGATTAATTGTAAAAAGAGGATTGACGTTTTGCAGAAGGATAAGTCTATAATATGCACGATAATGGCATGGATGTGAGTCGGTATAATGGATGGTACTCTTAAATAGGATTGATGGAGAATAACTTAAGCTTTCGGTATTCTTTGATACTAAGAAAATAATTTACAAATGTAAGTTAATTGTACAACAGATGGTGTCAGAATTCATTTGGAATCTGAAAGTAAAGTATTTGCTTACGGGAATGTATTCAGTAGCAATATGTGTTTAAGCTGGTTAGCATTACAAATTACTGCTTGCAAAACGTAAATCGCATGAAAAGTTACACGAAGTACATAGAAGGAAGATTCATCTATTGATTTAGAATTGGATTTGTCTACATTATCATGCTACATGTTAGGAAGCAAGATCTTGCGCGAAACAAATAAGGTTTAACGGACAGTGACCTAAGTTTGGAGATTTTGAATTTCTTTGGATTTCCTTATTAGGGACGTTACTCTATTCTGTTGCAGCCTATTTGTTAGTATAATCGGTATAGCTGCACTCAATACCTTAGATGCTAAACTAGGAATACTTATGTGGCATTTACCTTCCGTTAAATCCATATAATCTTTCGACGCTATCGATTAAAGTGGCAGTTATCTTTCAAGAATGTAATAAACAAGGAAAGCTTACCCATTAACACAAGCTCACTCTTGCAGTGGATAAAGCATGACTTGATAAAATTCAAAATGCCTTACATTAATAGACTTAAAATTTGTTTTTATTATTACCTAAGCATTTTAATATTATCCTATTCCTCCTAATCACATCAATATTGTATACTAAGGCCAGAATGATCGGAAAATGATTTTCGGTTTTCACTCCTGGACCAGTTTTGAAGTAGTCTAACCATGTTAAATGATGTTCAAGTCGATTTACTTTTTTCGAAGATTGTTTATTATTAATATCTTAAGTATCTTAACCGCGATACTGAAGTTCTTTCGAAGATGATCAAACATGATCAAAATTTAAAATGCCATGTATTAATAGGCGTAAAATTTGTTTTTATTACTACCTAAGAATTTTAATAATATTCTACCATTTCCTCTTAATCGCATCAATGTTGTGTACTGTGGCCAGAATGATTTCAGCCTTCACTCCAGCACCAGTTTTGAAGTAATTTAACCTCGTTAAATGATGTTAAAATCGATTCGCTTTTTCTAAGATCGTTTATTGTTAATATGCGTATCTTATCAGCAATACTGAAATTCTTTGGACGATAATTGTAAGATTCTCATGAAAATAACTTATCATAAAAGTTGCGTCGTTAGATCAATATTTAACATAGATCTCGAAATAGGATAGAATTTGTGCTCTAAGTCATAGCCTTATTAATACCAGTGAAGGCTTATGCATTATATTAGTGCGCTATCTACGGCCGCAGTGTGCTTTTATTATGAACATAATGTATAAATGAAATAGTCTATCGCATAATTTTTTACTGTAATCCACGGTTAACTTTATGAACAAGATCAGAGTTTATCTTTCCATAAGTAAGAAGCATCAGAATTGCCTTTACTACTTGTAATGCCTACGCAATAATCATTGCACCAAATATCAACTAATATCATTTTCTTACTGGAATTGTGCTGATCTCCGAAGATTCATTTAGGGCAATTTTTGTGCATATAGGAAATTAGGGCATACTAATCTTAGATCTATTATTCATCCTGCACAAAATTACCTCACCGCTGTAAAATGTACAGAATGTTCCGTTGCTCTTATTATTTTAATGATATCATGGCAATATGGATTGGAATTGGAAAGTACGGTATCACACTTGAATACACCAATTATTTGTATTCAATTCAAGTTAACAGTCCAACTCTGGATGTGATAAAATAAGGATAGTTATTTACTTAGCCTAGATTGATACTATTATTTTAATAGAAAGTATCTTATGGGTGGATATGCATACGTAAGCCATGATGCAATAAGTAAAGATTTTATAGGAGTATTGCGCTAGGCTATACTATTACAAAGTAATCATAGTCTTAATTCATACAGTGACTAAAAATATGTCTTGCTTACGTGACTGATAGTGAATCTTATTCCTACATTGTATAAATTAGCCTCAAATTTAGCCTGAAAAAGATTAACTCCTACCATCACCGTAACTAGATGTACTGTAAATATTTTATGCGCAGTTTGTAAAACTATACTTATCCTTATTACGACTAGACATTACTTAATATTTTTCATCCGATTGTCTGATGAGATGAAATCTATAAACTTAAAATTTTACTTTACTCTACAAGTTTAACGGTAAAAAATGTAGCTATAGTATCAGTCAAAATAGGAACATAAATCGCAATAAGTACAAGAAATGCTCCTAAAGTTTTCAAATTCAGTAACTGAATTGTTATTATTATTTCTATCGTGCTCGAAATTTTTGTACGTGATTGATCTATCTAAAGTAAATGATACGCATTTGAAGTTATTATTGCCGGCTACCATTGCAAGTTCTCGATAGAATGATTAGGGAAATATTGCTTCATGTTATTTACTCTGGAAAAAGCAATGGATTAGTTTCTTCTACTGCAAATATTACCGAAATCTAGTGTATTGTATCAATGAGGAATCAGCTCATTATCGCCTAAGAAAGTCGAGAAATAGACACATTATGTTTATTTATATAAGGTCGATTTAAACTGAATTACTTTGAAAGGTCGTGGAGTTCGAACGAATATCCATATATGTTCAAATGTAAACTGGACTGGGGAATCAGGCGACTACCATATAAATAGTTCCAACATCTGTCTTATGAAAATTTATCCAGTCTTTACATCTTGATTCAATTCAATTTTTACTCACATTTAATTTAACAAGAATTTGTCTCTGTCGTACTTAAAATTATCATTTATCAGTTCCATAATGTGAAATTGATCATCCTTCTTTAGTTACGGTATTCGTTGGAATAAGTTAGAAAGCAATTAATTGACATATGGAATATTACTTTTTTTGCATACTTTATGCACAGTTATGATGAAGTGATATGATTTATTTTTATTAATGCATATCCAATACTTTACGAGCTTGCCTAGAAATTTATTTCTATTTTATTGACATTACATCTGAATTATTGTTTACTTTGCCTTACGATTGAAATGCAGTTTAGATGTCAGATCGACTTTGGATAGCTTCAAGCTATTTTAGATTTTGAGCTTATAGAGATGACCTTAAATATTCTAAAAGGACAAATGGTTTTACTAGTAAATAATGTAATCTTAATTATTGATGTTTCCCATAAATTGGGTTTTGCACCACAATGTAAATTAACTAATGGTGAAATTTATTTGCAATACGGTTTGCTTCAGAATAATTGTACACTTACGTAACAAAACGCATCTAAAATCAGGTAGACGAAGCTTTATTTTGAAACCTACAGTACTAACATATGCATTACTTTGACTGAATGAGATCATTTGCTTAGCTATACTGCCCTAGAGATGTTGCTACCTACTGAAATGGTAGTGAACAGTAGCCATAAATTCTATTTTGCAGTCCATATCAAAATTGTCAGTACAATTTCTATGTACGAATAGGTTTAGGAACCAGTACGAATCATGGCCGGATTACAGATATTGGCCATAGAGTCGCTATATATAATTTGTAAGTCCAATCAGTTTTAGCAGGAAATTTGTATGTATTGATCACCCTCTATCATCATAGATGCTTTTTGTTTTTATATACGATGTAAGCATAATCGAGAACATCTATAAATTCTTCACATCCTGCTTGAATAATGGCTAGAAATTGGCATGTAATAAAGATTGCAATGACATCATTTATGATAGACTCACATAAATTCAAAAATACACAGAACAGAATACCGCTCAGGAGGAAATTCTCGATTAGTAGTATCTTAAACTTTGATATAATAATATCAAATTAAAGATTCCTCCATGATTCATTATCAAAATAAACGGTGTGAAAAAATTTTGGCTGTCGCAGATTGAATACCTTATCATCTTACTGATAGTGTATAACAAGTGCAGACGTGTTAAATCACATTTCAGTTTAGGCGTGCATGTCATTAACAATTCAATTTTTGCAGTGCATTTGTCATCTAGGTAGGTTTCAAATGTATAAGATTATTCTGGAAATGGATTGTTATGGTAAACATTCTAATTTTAGAATGTAGGAGGTCTTTCTTGGCATGGATCCTAGCGATAGCTATAAATATCTTACAGAAGTAATCCATCCTTAGAATATTGATTGCTGAACTAGATTGTACTCGTTTCTCAGATAAGGTCATTCTAAACTACTATTGGATATCTAAAGTTTATAAAGTCTTTGCATATTCTGTTAGATTTTTAGTCATTCAATCGTGAGTTACATTAGATCATCCAATTTCCTACCGTGACAATGGTTCGATTTTGTTTCCTGATAGCGGCAATACTATGTTGTGGCTTCCATCAAGCGATGGGCATTGTCCAATTGACTAATAATGGATATGAAGGTGTCGTTATTGGCATTAGCGATTCAGTAAGTGAAAGCCAGTTTCCGGATTTATTAGATCAAATTCAAAGTACGTTTAATAAATCCTCATCAAAGATATATACAGCATTTCGACGCCGTGCCTTCTTTCGACATATTACAATTATAATTCCCCGATCATGGAAGAATAGTATTAAGTACAAACCAGCGACCAAACAATCTTTCCATACCGCTGATTTTCGAATTGAACATACTAAAGCAAGTAGTAATGAAAAATGTTCCGATCGGGCCATGGTTAGAACGATTGGTGCCTATCAGTGCGGAGAACCGAATGACTATGTTCTGCTGACCCCCAATAGCTTTTGTCCAAGCAATTGGGCGTCTCGATTTCTGGATAAAAATATCGTCCGTCAATGGGCTCGCTATCGTTATGGAATCTATGATGAAGAAAGCAAAGGGACCAAGCTAACATATCTGAGTGAGTTATTAACTTATCATCTTTGAGATGAGTGATTATAAATTTCTTCTTTGTTAACTGTAAGATACAGCTAATTTATCGCACGAATTATTAGTATTTAATTAAGTATACATAATTAGACACTAGACAGGTATCACCAACATTCATGTTAGTTTAGAAGTAGGTGGCTATATATCTGATTTTATTGACCTATTTTCAAATGGTAAGAGTTGATGTTAATATTATCTACTGACTTGAGTAAAAAGTGACGGTACTGAATGCGGCAGTTTAAGGCATGAGATCAGAATTTAAAAGTTTAATTTGCAAATAAAAAGTGCCGATATTTAACTTTCTACATTAAAGCAATATTTGAGACAACTTTTAATTTAAAAGCTTAGTTTCGAAGCTATTTTAATACCCGAAATTAGCTGCAACAGCTTAAGAATTAACATGGTAATATTGTAACCTATTTAAGATATCATATAATCTAGTCTTACTAAGCATGTTAATTCTTGGTTAAGATAAATAATAGTTTAATGATCTCAATAAACTGCATCTGATTTATCTGTAAAATCTAACCACAACCAATTTTCGATTTTTGTAGAACACCAACAGCTACTTCATTAGCATTATAGCATTTTAATCTACTTAAGTTAATTCTTTAAAGTAGTCTTAATAAGTATGTTAATCCTTGCTTAAGATAAAAGATAGTTTCATAATCTCAACATCTAGCCTTACATTGCATTAAATAAGCCTGGATAAATTAAATGATGATTCCGTATGCTTGATTTTAAGTGAATACTACGTATAAACGCAATTATAGCTAAATTAATGATTACAATGAGCTGAGTAGCTATTTGAAATATTGACTTCAGTTTTAATATGACGTATGAATTTAACTACGAACTAACTTTGCCTTAAGATTAATTATTTACCTACATGCTCCCTATTTGCTAACATTTACACAATGAGTTAATCCGCAGATAAAGGAAATTACAATTTCATGGTTTTACTTTAATGATTTGTTTAGCCACTCTCTCTTAGTTATAAATTATGATTCATTTTAAAATGAATAGATTCTTGCAGGCCCTGTTTAAGATCACCTTTTTCAGGGACTGATACTGTCCGTGTGGTTTTAATTTAGAAGCAGATAAATTATTTTTCAAGTGATCTTAAATGAGCTCTTATTTTATCATCAACAGATTCTCAAACCAGTCAATATGAACCTGTTAAGTGTTCTTCTTCACTCAAAGTTGATATTGTGCGAGGTTTTAATACAAAATGTAGCATTAATCCAAATAGTGGCTCTGTTCATTTTCTTTGCCGACCCCGAGTTGGTCGCCCACCTATAGCCGCAGGTTCCATCATGTATGAGTACCGAATGGACGGGGTAAGTTAAATCTTATCAATAAAGATTTATAAGGTGTGCTTTCCAATAAAACTTACTACTGTATCATCAGCATCAATTTATGTTCAATTGGCTACAGGAACTAACCAATTTTGGATTTATATCTTCTTTGTATTGACGTTTTTTCTTAATATTCGTAGCTTGAACATTTTTGTGATGACGGAGGAGCTGATGAACAAAATGCCATGACACGCCATAATTCGTTGCCTCCAACTTCTCAAAATATTAATTGCGATGGAGAAAGCACGTGGACAGTTATTAAACGCCATCAAGATTTTACCAATCAAAATCGGCCTGCTAGGATTAAAAATACAGCGCCGATATTTCGATTTGTAAAGGCAATGCCAGTACGTATTGTTATGGTTTTGGATAAATCTGGCAGCATGAGGGGCAGTAATTTGCAGCAACTAATACAAGCAGCAACAAATGTTATTTTGCAATTGGGACAAATTGATGGATCTATAGGTAATGAGTTAATATGGTAGTTAAAAATCGAAAATGTTGATGGCAACCTAAATGAATATTACATTAGTAATAGACTACTAAGTTTTTATAAAGATTTTAGTAGTCCATGCATTAGTATTGCATTCTAGTTATAGAATGATCGAATATTATTATCGAGTCAATCCAATGTAATGCAAGTTTGGATTTTATTTTTTAATGTATTGTAAAAAATTTCACGTTTTAATTGATAGGCAGTTGTAATATATTGTAGAACTGGATTATTGAGGCCATATTTACATTACGACCACGTTTAATATAATGATAAACAGAGTTATTAGAATTAGAACTAATTTAATAAAATTACACCGTTATTACTTTGGATACCCTTTATTACTGTAAAGTAATTAAGTCATGTTATCAGTGGAGTTATTTCAGAATAATTGAATTCTGTTCACAAGTACAAGTAAATTAAACGATTATTTTAGTATTCGAAAACTCTGTTGCAAAAGCCCCCATTTTGTTGAGTTATTCTAATAACATTCTGTTTATATTTTAATTAACTGGTAGGAATTATAATATTTAGTACATCTGCAACAGTCACTTGCCCGCTTATGGCTGTTAATAACGATCAAGACAAGAATAAATTAATTGGCTGCTTACCACCAGAAGCATCAGGAGGAACTAGCATTGGTAGTGGTATACTCAAAGGCATTGAGGTAATGTAGTTAAATTTAATATTCTATTTTCCTTGAAATATCCAATCGAGGATAATGATGACTAGTTAGATTAGTATTAGTTAAAAATTCTTCAGTGACTCCTGATTTTAATAAGAGAATGCTAGTTTTTGTAAATAGTGAGAATGATGACAGATTGCTATATATATAAATCTTTATTAATATTTATTCAAGTCTGACTAAACGGCTGCTGCTATTAAATGTTGATTATACCATGCAGTATTAACTGAATAAGGCATATAGGAGTGCTAATATATCATTTATTGAACGGATGAATGTATTTTTTTGGACTATTCCATTAGAACATTCTATTCTTATACTATACTAGTATTGATTTAAAATTTATAGTATTTTACACTTAAAAATATAGCAGATGTATTTCCATAATGACCAATTTGTTCATATATTTTGCTATAGCTTTTACTAGGTTCAGTAGGTGAGCAAAAACCAAGTGGTGGCCATTTAATCGTTATGAGTGATGGCCAAGAAAATGCTAATCCTCGTATTAAAGATGTAATGAGTAATATTACCGAAAATGATGTTGTTGTTACAAGTATATCATTTGGACAATCTGCATCCAAAGTTCTTGAAGATTTGGCAAAATCAACTGGTGGTTCATCTTATTTTGCTTCCACTAATGGTACCTTAACATTAATGAATGCGTTTACTGCCATCATAAGCAATTTAGTTGGGCCGAGTAGTATCAAAGTGACGACACCGATTCAGGTAAATTCTACGGTTAGGGTAATAAATCGCTTTACTAATATTAATGTATGGAAACATTTACTAGCTACGTTTGGATTGTTTGACTGAAGTAGCATAGTGTACTATATGGAGTTTTTTAACAGTAGAGAGATATTTAATTAATTAATATCAGTTATTATTAAACGAATATAAAAAAGAATTACTATCAATAAATGATTAAAAGGATCGTATTTATGCTATTAGCCTAGGAAGAATCTATTTTACTGTTGTATTGCTTTTGTAAGAAGATGTAGTTTTTTAATTGTTTCTGTCTTTTAGGTGTATAGTAGAGAAATTTATGCAAAACCTGGTGAATCGTTTCAAGATTTTGTTCTAGTTGATCCATCGGTGGGAGACAACTCGCAATTTACCTTTACTTGGCAATTGCGTGAGGTCGATGTTGTTCTAACTTCTCCATCAGGGAATAGCTATACTTCTACCTCACCGGAATATATCATTTACAAACAGCAAAAATTAGTTAGAATTATAATACCAAAAGCTGAGGTAAAAGAAAAATTATTTTTAGATACTTTAATATAAGGTTGAGGAATAAGACCATACTAAGATCTTTTTACTAGATTATGCAATTCATATAGCATTATGTATGATGCTTATTTCTCAAATATTTTCTTCTACACCGAATGGATACTATTGTTCATCGCTATACATTTAATTTACTGCTTATCGTATTCATTCTGGCTTACGGAAGTTATGTTCTAATTTCTAGAATGGAAGATGGGAATACACTATTACAGATAAAACATCCAAGCGAAGAAGAGCTGTACGAGCTACTGGCCAATCCCAAAGTATTAGTATTACAGCATCGGCATCACCTAAAGTTGAAAATAGTAGCGATGATTCACTTATTTCTACAGGAGTCGTTATTATTGAAGTAAGGCTTAGTAAAGAGAAAATTCAATATCCAAGTGTGGTAAGCCACCTATGTTTTAGCCTAGATAAATACTAAATGCGGCATACTCGCGCCATAAAATGAATTTAATCGTATTGATTTAAAGTACTCAATCGAGCATATTTTTTATCGTAGCCTATCGTTTATGTTGAAGTCAAACTTGGCCATTTAGCCATATTGAATTGTTCAGCGAGAGTAAAAGTAACAGTACCAAATCTTTCTAAAGATTACTTCTTCCAAGCAAGAGATGATGGTGCCGGTAATAATATGATTTTAGGGGTTACTCTTGGTTATAGTTTACATTTTGAAATGATTGATGATGGTGCTTTAGTATTCGATTTTTAATCCTTATATAAAATTTTATTAACAGGCGCAGATATTGTAGCCAATGATGGAATTTATTCCGCTTATATGACAAATTTTGATGGCAATGGGCGTTATGCTTTACTTGGGATGGCTGACACAAATGCAAATCAATCCTATGTTGACACAGATTATATTTTTGGAGTTGGTAGAGCGATAGATGATCGTCAAGTAGATACCAATGCTACATCGTCAGAAAGGCAGATGGAATATTTATACGCATTTTCTAGAGTGAAATCAGGTCCTTTATTGGAAGTTTCAAATTATCAACTAGGTATATCTTATTAGTTAATTATTATTGCAGGTATACGTGTCTGTGTCTTTCAAGTACGGTATCTAGGCTACCTGTCTAACTGAAATGAGTTGAGATTACATATGGACTGTTTCAAATACTTTATTTCTATAATTTATCATCTTGATGAACATTTTACACTTGTATTGATTGTAAATTAAATTCATAGACAGAGATCAATTACCACCTGCTCGTGTGCACGATGTTATTGTAGCTGAAACTATATCTAAAAATAAGAGTGTAATATTAAAGTGGACTGCACCAGGCAATGATTTGGATAAAGGCACAGGTAGATTTATGATGTTATAACATTATACGTCAATTACACGGTGTTAACATCTAATCCTTTGCTGTAAATTTAAATTTCTTTTTTCGAAATAGCCAAAGGCTATGAAATTCGATATTCTAGTACAGGATTAAGCATCATGAACTTTAGAAAGAATTTTACCTATGGCCAAATTGCGGTCTTTCAATCAGTTTTTGCAATACCGAATGCAACCAATGCCACAAAACCTAAACCAGCTGGTTCAACCGAACAAATGATAGTTACCTTGGATGATGCTGAATATGGAAACACTTATGCACTTGGCTTAATAGCTTATGATGACAATATGAAATCGAAAGTATCGAATTATGTCTACACAATCTTTCAACATGTGTTTCAACCCTTTGATTTCCATGTTAAAATCGATCATCATCATCTTGGCATCATGATAATAAGTTGGAAAATAGCTTGTAATAGTTGTGCTACTGGCATTGGTGAGTAATTAACTACCGGTACTTTTAAAAATGTCATCTTAAAGTGTGACAATTTGTAATATGAGAGGTATTGCGTATATTTTAAAGTAAATTCTGAAGATAGTTTTGCGGTGAATGAGAATTTCACAGATAATTTTATGTATTAATCGATACTATTTCTATTGACAAATTTTACATTCGTATTTCATGTTATTTTTTAACTGAGTCTAAATGTTATTCATTCCATACCGGTAAAGTATTTAATAGTTGATAAACTATAAAATTATTGGTACAATAGGAAGGTTTAAGAATAGTGATTGGCATCTTTTTAACTTAAACTTTTTCAATTCTACTATAGCTCCTATTGGTTATGAAATACAATATAGCACTGATCAAGAAGACTTAAGTGAAGAAGTTATAGCAGGACAAATTATCACTCAAGATCAAATAATTGATCATAAAACAGTAACTGTGGATTCTTCATCTGATGTGTTGCATGAATATACTATCAAAATGAGAAAATATCAGTATTCACGTCCTTATTACTTTGCTGTTCGTGGATATGATAATTACCGTTACTATTCGAATTATTCTAATATTGCTGATATAGAATTTTATAAAGTTAAATCTCCGCAAAATTTAAGAGTTACCTTTATGTCAAATGCCAGTAAAGAAGTGCAATTACAATGGATACTCGATTCATCCAAGAAGGGATTAAGTAAGTTTGGTGATATCTATTTCTCCTATAGAATAAGCTAAAGTAAATGTTTACCTATGTTTTGATATTCACAAATACTTTAAAATCTCGAAATAACAGTTTTTATTACCGATTCTACGGGTATATTGGAATCTAACCATGAAGTATATTATCTTCTGTACCTTTTATTAAATGAAATTAGCACCAGCAAGATATCAAATTTGTTGGATTGAAGCTAATCAGAATAGAGAATCCTGCCGAGCGATATCATCTAATCTACTGCTTAGAGCTGGTGAAGATTTTATCTATCGTTTTAGATTCAGTGAAGCACAATATGGCAAAATATACGATTTTCGTGTCCGAGCTATTGATATTTTTTATCATATCTCATCGGCGAGTAATTCAGCAAAGGTGGAATTATATTATTTATCGCCTCCTACAGACGCTGTAGTCAATATTGTTAGTCATAAGGCGAAAATAATCGATGTCCATTGGAAAGTATTACTAAATGACTTCAAGATATCGACAAGTACGCTAATTTTCTAATCAGTCTATCACTGAACTTCTATCGAATATACCTGTTTAATTATGATTTCTAAATGTCTAGTTTTGAATGATATTATTTGAGTAAATTAGACTGAGCGAAGTAGATTGGTTATAAGATTAGATTATTGTCAATATTGGTAATATTATTATGATTATACTTGTAAGAAAGTATTTTTAACCTCAGATATGCTCGTATATGAATTTATTAAGTCTAATGTCAACATATTGTAGAGAATCTTGAATACAGCAATTCAATAGTCAAGTTTTAAAATATATTACTTATGAGAATATTAAACCTAGTATTTGCCTGGTCAAATTCATAATCGATAGCTTAAAGGGTATCTTTTACTTTCGCATATATAGATTGGTGAAATATCTAACTAGAAATTTTTGTATGTAGCTATTCTATTATGTGACAAATAAGATTAGTAAGATCACTTCTAATGTAAATTTCGTTTAATTTCAATATATTTAGATGCTCGTTATTGCAAAGTGATAATCAGCAACCAACCTTCATTAAATAATTCATCTACTATCTTGGCTACAGAAATGGCTCAAATTAAAAATGATGGGTTTAAAGGATATCAGGAAATGTCTGCTATCTTTCAGTTAATGAAGACCAATGGTTTAAATTACGCTTTCGTAAATTGCTTCGACAAATATCAATTACAATCAACCCTATCAGATCCAATTGAATTCTCCTTTGAAAAGCTTCATATTACTACACCTTATAACTTGGGTTTAATAGTTAATTCTGATAAGTTAACAGCTACATTAGTGTGGGAAATGACGAAAGAGAACGCAATTACCGTTCCAGGTAAATTTATTTCAATAATGTCAATACTAACGATGTGTACTTAATCATTATTAACAAACAAAGATAGCATATATAATTAATTGATATGGACGATATTTGATACTAATTTACGAGTATCTTGAGCTATAACATAAGCATTTACTAGAAGAAAAATAATGTTGCAACTATTTTTTATTATAGCACCTTATTATGAAATACGATATAGCTACGATACCGAGGCCTTTATGAAGGATTTTAATCGTGGGAAGGTCGTTGATGATGATATTATTATCAGGTTTGAACGAAGTATGAAAGATGGACAGAGGACGCGATTGTGCGTTTTCTCGGTAGCTAACTTTGAATATAATCAAACGTTTGCTACTGCGGTTAAATCTTATAGCAATAAAATCGCCCAGTCGGGTATTTCTAACTATGACATGGGCATATTAATTAAAAATTCAACTAGGCCTCCAGAGCATGTGCCGTTTGGGAAAAATCATTTTGTGATTATCGGTGTTATAGGTGGTGTGATATTGATTGTTGTATTTGCATTAGCGATATATCTATATAAACGTCGAATAGGCGCGATCTAATACTCTAGTCTATCGCTTAATACTGTCATCTATATAATAAATAATTTATAAGAATAAGAGCTTAGTTCATGGGACAGAAATATTATTCCGCTATCATTTACATACTATATAGTAATTGATGACAGTTCTTAAAATATTATTTTAAAAATTTCATTATTTCCATGTGCGCACTATAACGTATCAATATTCAAACTGTTAATTATGGCTTTGATTCGGTTCATTTTCGATTTTATTATGTGTAATCATTACCTTCTATTTTAAAAAATTCTACTCTCCTCATAGATATTTATTCTAAGTTATAATACTTTTGGATCTATAGCTTCACATAAGACGAAGGGTTTATTTCATAAAATATTAATATTCAAACGTTTAGTCATAATTTTTATTCCGTTATTAAGCGATTTTATTACATATTATTTTTACTTTGTATTCTAAAACAGATTTCTACTCTTCTCATAGAAGTCTATTCTAAGTTACGATACTTTTGGATCTATATGTTAATATTAGACGATAAATTTATTTTACATTAGTGTAAATTAAACGTAAAAGGATTGATTTTATGCTGCATTATCACATAAAGTATATGTAAATAACTGATTTTACGTACCCCATTTTGTATGATAATTGAATAAATATTTTTTATTATCTCTACCAGATTTTGTCAGTCGTTATGGTGAAATAGGGTTAGTTTTTTTATCAAGAAAATTAGGTAGTTCCACACGGTAAAGAAGCTGTTTGATTGTTATATGGTTTGGCAACATTGGGATGATAGTGATCTAGGACAAATAATTTAATTTTGAGTGACTTCTTATTCTTAGAAATTACCTCTTCGTGCTTGTCTTAATATCTATACATATTTTCCATGTTGTTGTATGATTTGGCAGTATTTGGATGATAGTGACCAGGAACTGACTATTCAATTTTGAGTAATTTCTTATAAATAGGAATAGCGTCTTCATGGTTGCTTTGGTCGAACTAAATACACATTTCCTAGATTGCTATGTGATTTGGTAACATTGAAATGATTGTGATTAAGAACTGATAATTCAGTTTTGAGTGACTTCTCCTAAATGGAAATAACTTCTTCATGCTTGTCTTGATGTCCGTATATATTTTTTTGTTATATGATTTGGTAATAACGGGATGATTGTGGTCAAAGGCTGATAATTGAATTTTGAGTGACTTCTCATACATAGAAATAGCCTCCTCATGCTTGACTTGATATCTATATGTAGAACCCATGTTGCTATATGGTGCATTAAAAACAGAATAATTATGATCAAAGACTGATAATCTAATTTGAGTGACTTCTGATACGTAGAAATAGCCTCTTCATGCTTGTCTTATGCAACAGAAACAATTCCTAGATTGTTACATGATGTGACAAAATCTAAATGATTATGATCAAGAGCTGACAATATAATTTTAAGTGACTTCTCAACATAAAAATAGCCTCTTCATGCTAGCCTTGATGCCTACATGCAGAACCCATGTTATTATATTATTTGGTAAGATCAGGATGATTATGATCAAGAACCGATAATTGAATTTTGAGTGACTCCTTACGCATAGAAATAGCCTCTTCACGCTTCCATTAATGTATAAATATATACATGAAAGCGTAAATTTTGATAAAAATCAATTATATATATTTACTGGTAAAGTTGTATAGTTCTCGTCATTACATGTAGTTCTTAGATTGTTACATGATTGGGCTACATCGGGATTATTGGGACCAAGAATTGACAATTGAATTTTGAGTGACTTTTCATACATGGAAATAGCTTCTTTACGCTCGCTTTGATGTCTATACGCAGCTTCCTTGTTGTTATAAAATCTAGAAAATGTGTATAGCTATCAAAGCAAATATGAAAAGCTATTTCTATATATGAAAAATCGCTCTAAATTTAATTGTCAGTTTCTATACATGGGAAGTTTCTCAAAATTTAATTGTCACCCTTTGATACAGTAACATCGGGATGATTGTGATCAAAGGCTGATAATCAAATTTTTGAGTGATTATTTATACCTAGAAATGGCATCTTTTTGCATAACTTGATAAAAATACGCATTTCCAAGATTGCAATATGCTACAGCAATATCAAGATAATCGTGAACAAGAACTAATAATCTAATTTCGAGTGACTTCTCATGCATAGAAATAATCTCTTCGTGCTTGCCTTGAATGTCTAGGTTACGGCCAAAACCCGAAATTGGCCAATACGCGTATAATCAACAAGATTAAGGAGCTCTACATTGTGTAAAAAATGTTTCACTTTGTGTTTATTACTGCATGCAGATAACTCTTAGCCATTTGAAGTTAATTATTCTTAAGCATAAGTCTTAGGAGTATTTTAAATACACCATAAAAGTACGAAATTATAGCTACAAGTATGTTGTACTTGTGTCTATAAACAAACTGAGACTGACTATTACTTGATTTTTTATGGACTTGATAAGAATATTTCGTTCAGCTATCAAACTAGGATAATTTAAGAAGGGAAATTTCGTCATAATACTTCCGGTATAATAGATATGCCAGGGGTTATTTTTACCTCTAATATCTAGAACTATTATTCTCAGCATGTGCACTAATATCTGAGTAGCGCGATTGAGCATTGGAGTGTAGATGACGAGCATGTTTAAAAGTTTATCTTACAGACTTTAGCCTCAGAGTAATTAAGAAGAACCCTAGTAGACTATCGATGACTATAAACAGTATGATGCTGAGCTGCTTTAATGATAGTAATCAATATAGATAAGTAACTTATATATTTGGTTATAGAATACAATACTATAATATAACAACAATACTAATAATAATCGTTCTACTTCCACAATACAGGAAGACTATTGCTGATTGTAACTATAGATGCCACGAAAAGTTTAGCCAAATCTTATATAAACTAGTAATGTCACAGGTTTTATGGTATAAATTCTTTCTAAGCGCTCCGTAGTAGTTCTATTCGGCTAGTATAGAGCTGTGTGTTGTTCTACCTTTGTATAAAGGTCAATCAATTTCTAATTTTCACGAACTTTGGGATTTATTTTCATCAGAATCCTTATTGTACTGTATTTATACTACTGCTATAGTCTTGGATTGAAGTCGAAGAACTCCTTATTGGTGGGTATCTAATTTTGAGCACTAATGATATATAACTAGTAGCGTGCTCGCTTGCTATACTTCGCGTTCATATCTTCTATTCTCCATGGCTATGCCACAATAAACAAACTGATAAAATTCAGGCTGATAATATTTCGTCATTAAGTCAATACTAACTTAGACTTTCTACGTAGAATAATTAAAATGATCTATAAGAGCTTGTGCTGTATAATGTATGTACTGTATAATGTGTCAGCGGCTTTTTAGGGAGGAGGGTAGGATTGCTACGATTAAGTTAAGTATTTATTATCATTAATGGCTTCTATTAAGTATAGCATAGTAGTGCTATATACCTTGATGCTGTTTCAGATAGATTGAGCTTTTCTAGATGGTGTACAGTAAGCTCCTATAGTCGATAGATATACTACTATTATAAATTATTCTGTACATTGATAACGTTCAATAAATTGATATCTAAATGGTTGGCCTCTAATGAGTATTGCCATCGATCGAGGTGTTATTAAGGTGTCTACACGATAAACAGTATCTTCATACGTGAATTTCTACTTTTGAGAACTTTAGTGAATACCAAAATTATTCAATATTTGCACAATTTGGAGTGCAATATTGCATCATTGATTGACTTTAAAGTTCTGATGATAAAACAGAATATCATGTTTTGAGAATACAGGTATTACCTTTAAATATTGACGCTGTATACTAGAGTTAATGACCTGCCGTAGCATGTGACAAACAGCGACTTTTCTTGTACGTTATCGCTCAGCTTGAATGAGTAATGGATCAAATTCTATCTGTAAAGAAAGACACAGTATACAATTAAAATAATTTTAAGATTACGTAAAAATATATATTTAACTTAAAGACCAGACATGCACGTGATCACGTGCTAGGTCCATTAGCTAAGATAATTGGTAAAATTTTGGACATGAAATCAATAACGGAAGTCAAGTAAGCTTTCTACTAATGTTTATCCGTGGATGATTTTTTATGATAGTAGATACCCTTTTATTATCAATTAAAAAGATTTGGATAGCTGTATAGCCTCTAATAGATGGTTTGGAAGAAATCGAATAATGCCTGTACGTTTATTCGATTATCTAGTATTTGTTCTTTAGAATTTATGTTATGATTCATTATCAAAATAATCAATGACCAATAGTCTGCCTTAAATGGAATTAATGAACTGGTGATGAGGGTAAATTAAAGTCCACTAGCATAGTTTCCAGATTTAAATTTAGACCAGATATGCATATAATTATTTGCATTATATATATATATAGGTTACATATATACCATAGTAGTACGAGATAAGCTCCTCAGTATTCATTTGTCTGGAACATGAGATATACTACGACGTGTTAATTTCAATCGTAGCTGCAACATAGTGTATAGGAATTGGAATCGTCGCTTTAAAGAAGGAGGGATAACAATTTTTTATACAATCTACGGTACTGCTGCAGTAATTTGTCAGGATTAAAAGCTATCTCTAAATTATCTTTCCTATCTATATCTGGTAAGATATTTTTATCGGTTTCTAATCATTTTATTACAGCATTAATTGGATTACAAAAATCTGTCAAATATCGATGGCCCGATTTTATATTATATTGGCAGTATTACTAAGCTGTGGACTCCATCATGCTTTGGGCTCTGCTCGATTGATCAATAATGGATATGAAGATGTTGTTATTGCTATTAGCAATTCAGTAAGCGAGAGGCAATTTCCTAATTTATTAGATCAAATTCAACGTATATTTACTGAATCATCATCGAGGTTATATACGGCATTTCGACGTCGAGCTTACTTTCGATATATTACAATTGTAATTCCACGCTCGTGGGAAGATAATGCCAAGTATGAGCCAGCGACCAAACAATCTTTCCATACCGCTGATTTTCGAATTGATCATGATACAGTAAGTATTAATGGAAAATGTTCCGGTAGAGCCTTAGTTAGAACTATTGGTGGTTATCAATGCGGAAAATCGAATGACTATATTGAAATGACACCGAATAGTTTTTGTCCAAGCAATGGAGCTTTTCCTTTTCTCGGTAAAAATATCGTTCGTCAATGGGCTCGCTATCGTTATGGAATCTACGATGAAGAAAGTAAAGGGTCTAAATTATTATATCGAGGTAGGTAATTTTTCACCTTATTTATTCAAGTCCGAGGTGCGCGTGAAAGGGTCCTATACTTCAGGATGTGTCTTCTTGCTAGAGCTATTTCACGGAATCTTCAATTGAATGATAATTGACAACTATTAATAGGATGTTATTGAGCATCGTGATTACTGTCTTCAATAAAATAATATGCTGGTAGTTGTTAATTGCAGTAATTCGATACTGTTAGTAACTATTACTCTCTATAAGTAGCCTCATAGTAGTTTAGGATATACTGTAAGCTTGCATAAAATAAATGAAGCTTTATTCCGGACATGACACATCAAAGTAGGTTATCATTTTTAACTTTCGGTTTACTCAGGTCTAGTAGGAGTGCATATAGAATTTCTGTTGTATTATCTACACTGTTATTTAAAATATTAGTATTTGCAAGATTGAAAATAAGCGAGTTTACATTAATATTAGGTCATATGGTTCATTTTGCTAGGTATCTGTGTCCAATGCGATAGTTTACTAACAAGTTGCAGTAGTTCTTGGATACAGATAATAACTGCTGACTTTAGTAAACAGCTAGGGCATATTCTGTTGTAAGATATAAGTATACCTAAAAATCGATATGAACTAATTTAATGTTCTACATCACTAATGTTACTACTATAAACATATTTGACAAAACTTTAAGCTAAAAAATAAGTATTTTGGAATATATACCGAACTCCGTTTATTAAATATTTTATACAATTTTTTATCACAAATACTTCTTGTAGAAATTCGGTATTAACTAACTTACTGTTGTACATCACTAAATGTTGCTACTGTAAACATCTATAATCAAAACTTTAAGCTAAAAATTTAAAATTTTAGAATATATATTCCGTTTACTAAATATTTTATACACATTTTTTATCATAAATAGATCATGAAGAAAATCGATTCAAACCAATTCAATGTTCTAGATCATTAAAGGTTCATATTGTAGACATGTATAACAAAACATGCAGCTACAACCCAGTGTCTGGCTCTGGTCTTAAAGTTGGGTGCCGTATCGTCGTTGCTCGTTCAAGTCTAGCTGCTGGATCTATCATGTATGAGTATCGAGTTGATGGAGTAAGTCAAATCCAATTACTAAAGCTAAAACTCATTTTTAAACAAACAATTTAATTTGTCAAGTTTTCGTACAGCTTATTTTGAGTGGGACACTAGTTATTGGAAATTTCAGATTGACATCTTTTTAAAGTAGTTGTTTCTAATATTTATATCATAGATCGAACATTTTTGTGATGATGGAGGAAAAGATGCAGCAAACGCTAGAACTCGCCATAACCCGATCCCCTCAACTTATCAAAATATTTATTGCGATAGCAAAAGCGTTTGGACAGTTATTAAACGTCATCCAGATTTTGTTAATGATAAAAATCCCCCAGCCAATATTAGATCTACCATACCCAAATTTCGATTTGTTAAATCAGAGCCATTGCGTATTGCTATGGTATTGGATAAATCGGGTAGCATGAGCGGAAGAAATATGCAGCTATTATCACAAGCAGCTATAAATGTTATTGCACAATCAAGAAATTTTGATGGAAAATTAGGTAATTTACCGATATTAAAAGATTAAATTTGTGGGCGATTATTATTTAAAGAAATACAGTATTACTTTAATATTGTGCTATATTCAGTAAAGAATCAAATATGAATATGCAACAACTTTAGTTTAGTAGAGATAAATAAGGTTTTTACTTTGAAGTTGAAAGTGGGCAGGTATGCTTGATAATAGCTTTCTTATAGCCTAGCCATAGAATGTATAGCAAGTTTCTACAATAATCTGGATTAGGATTATAGCTATATCAATAGAAATGATATCATTTTGGGTTATGTACTAGAACGATTTTAACTGCGCTTTTACCATCGATTGGTAGGGATCGTAACATTTAGCACGAATGCGACAGTTACTTGCCCACTTACGGCCGGCGAAAGTGATCAAGAAAAAAATAAATTAATAAACTGTTTACCATCAGAGGCTGAAGGGGAAACTAGCATTGGCAGCGGTATTCTTAAAGGCATTGAGGTAAGTTAACAGAATGGAATATCAATTCTTTCTTATATCATGCAGGGCTGTAAAATTTTATCCTTAACATTCGATCGATTTTCGTAATTTTTTAGCATTAGAATAAATTACATTAATGTAACATAATTTTGAAGATATTGTGTACGATAATCGATGGCTATGCCATTTATTGGCATATTCAAACAAAATTGTGTGTTTCTATCATATCACGGGCTTTAGAAGGAATATACATATGACTAGATCAATATTGTTTCGATTTTTTATTATTTTTACTCTTTTATGATGCAGATGTGAATACATTTTATTATTCATCAGAAAATTAAATTTTACCAATTAAACTTTCAATTTGGTTCTCTTAGCTTTTACGTAAATCAAAGGATGGACGAAAACCTAGCGGTGGCCATTTAATAGTTATGAGTGATGGACAAGAAAATTATCGACCTTATATTGAAAATATAATGACCAATATTACTGAAAATGAAATCGTTATAACCAGCATATCACTGGGACAACATGCTTCAGAAAACCTAGAAGACTTATCTAAATTGACCGGCGGATTATCCTATTTCGCATCTACTAATAGCACTTTGACATTAATCAACGCATTTACGACAATTGTTAGTAATTTAGTTGGACCGGATAATATTAAATACACAACACCAATTCAGGTAAGTTCTGACTAGCATATTAGTCATAAGAATTTTAATAAGCACTACTCATAAGTAAAAGTAATTAATACCAATGCTAAGGTAGATGGTTAGGCATGTAAATTATTGAAATAGGAAGAATTGTCATTAAAAATCTATTTTTTTGACAATTAAATAGGTAGAAGTAACTTATTTGTAACACTTGATTGATGTCCTAGCAAATCTAATATTTTTGAAAGTCAAATTAAATTGTACCTTGGAATTTGTATATTTCTATATTTTAGATATATAGTGAAGAAGTCATTGCAAGACCTGGTAAATCATATCGAGATTCTGCACTACTGGATCGATCGATTGGAGATAACGCACAGTTTACTTTTACCTGGGAATTGCGCCAGATCAACGTTATTTTAACCTCTCCATTAGGGATTAATTATACTTCTACTTCACCAGAATATACTGTATACAAACAGCAAAAATTAATCAGAATTACAATAGCTAAAGCCCAGGTAAAATATATAATTACTATAGATATTTTCATGTAAAGTTTGAAAATAATACCTGAATAGATTTTAATTTTAAGGCATTGCAATGATCACTGCTCCTATTTATTTTACTCTGGCCGAGACTAATAATGCAATCCATAGCTAGATAGCATTTATCATCTATTTATAGTATAGTACTAATTCTAGTTTATGGAATTTATGCTGTAATTTCTAGTCCGGTAGATGGAAGTACACTATTGAAGATAAGTTATCAAGGCAAATGCGAGACTTGAGAGCTATTGATCAATCTCAAAGCGTTAGTGTTACGGTATCAGCATTGTCTAAAGCTCAAAGTAGTAATAATGAATCCATTGCTGCTAAAGGAGTGGTTACCATTGAAGTTAAACTTAACAAAGAGAAAATTCAATATCCAGATGTAGTAAGCTTGAATTCTTTTCATCTCTATTGCTTTTTTGATTAGTGTATGACAGCATAGACATTGCTACTACAGCATAATTTGAATCATGCTAAATCTAATATTTTTATTACAGCCTATCGTTTATGTTGAAGTTAAACTTGGTCATTTAGCAGTATTAAATTGCTCTGCGGTTGTGAAAGTAACTGTACCTAATCAGTCTAAAAATTACATCCTCCGCGTTCGAGATGATGGTGCCGGTAAGAAAGAAGTTTCGTTGGCTATCCTTAATCATAGCCAATAATACAACGATTATAGGAGGGTATACAGGCGCATATTAATAATGAATTTATTTTTTGCTATTACAGGTGCGGATATTACCGCAAATGATGGAATCTATTCTGCTTATATGACGAAGCTTGATGGCAATGGACGTTATGCTTTGCTTGGAATGGTAAACGCAAATGCAAATCAATCCTATATCGATACAAATTATAATTTCGGTGCTAGGAATACGATAGATAATCAAGCAGATATTAAGAATTCATCCTCAGCTAGGCAGATCGAATATGTATATGCATTTTCTAGAGTGAAATCAGGCCCTTTATTGGAAGTTTCACATTATTCGTTAGGTAAATCTTTTAAATATAACTAATATCATTGTACTGTACATATAGCAACCTATACGTATATGTGTATACCTCTCTATTTTGTACAGTATAAAATTAAAATTTGTTGCGATAGCAAATTGAAGATTTTATCTATTTATTTTCTATAACTGACGTCTTAATAGATATATTAAAAGCTGGTATTAAATGAATCGAATTTATAGGTACGGATCAATTGCCGCCGGCTCGTATACATGATCTTCTTGCAATCGAGACGATATCTAAGAATAAAAGTGTAATATTGAAATGGACTGCAACAGGCAATGACTTAGATCAAGGCACAGGTAGAAATATTATAATATAAACTTTATAATACTTTAAATAAGACAACCAGTCCTAACTATTTATCACCGTTTATAAACCTTGAAATAGCTGAAGGCTATGAAATTCGGTATGCTAGTACAAGCTTGGAGCTGGAGCAATTCAGAAACAATTTTGCAACTGGCCAAATTGCATCATTTCAGTCTTTATTAGCAACGCCTAATGCAACTAATGTAACGAAACCTAAACCAGCTGGTTCAACTGAAGAGATGATAGTTGCTTTAGATGAAGTTAAATATGGGAGAACTTACATGATTGGTTTAATAGCATATGACAAGAGTTTGCAATCAAAAGTATCTAATTACGTGTACGGAGTATTTCAACACGTGTTTCAACCCTTCCAATTTCAAATTAAAATCGAGCATCATCATCTTGGAATCTTGAAAATAAGTTGGAAAACAGCATGTAGCAGCTGTACTAATAGTATTGGTAAATAAAGCAGTTACTGACGTATATAAGTTAAGATTTTGATATCTACTTCGGTAAATTATTATTTTTAGAATTTGAAATATTGTTTCTACTGTGCTAAAAAATTTGCAATGCATGGACTTGACATAGGCGAATATTTGTTATCACGCCTAAAAAGGAAATTTATTTTATATTTTAGAATGTAAGATCATTCAACGTTAGGCTTTGTCAGTAGTAGATATGATATAATAGACATAGAGCAAATCATTAACATTAAGATGATTATTTAAACTATAGATCGATAAAGTTATAACATTACTTTTTCAATGATAGTCCCTACAGGTTATGAAATACAATATAGTACAGATCCACAAGACTTAACGGAAGACATCATGGCGGGACAGGTTATCACCCAAAATGAAATTATCAATCGTAAAACAGTCACTGTGGATTTTTCGTCAGATATCTTGCATGAATATACAATCAGAATAAAGAGTCATAAGTATTCGCTTCCATATTACTTCGCAGTTCGCGGATATGACCGATATCGCTACTATTCAAATTATTCTAGCATTGCAGATATAGAGTTCTATAAAGTTAAATCACCTCGGCATTTAAGAGTTACAATTCTATCTCATGCTTTTAAAGAATTGCAAATGGAATGGAATCTCGACTTATCAACAGGATTAAGTAAGTGTATAGTTATCAAATCCTCGACTAAAGTACAAACAGTGAATACATGCATCTATATTTTTATATTTATAAAGTTGTAAAATTGCTAAAGTTTGCTTTACCGATTCTATTAGCATATCAAAATTTATTAAAATATGATACTAAATATTTTATACCATTTTATTTTGTACATTTTAGTGCCAGTAAAATATAAAATTTGCTGGATAAAAACTTTAACATCCAATGGTAATGAGAACAGAGAATCTTGTAATGTGATATCAACTGATCTATTATCTCGAACTAATGAAGATATTAGCCTTCGCTTTAAATTTAGAGAACTACATTATGGTTCTGTATACAATTTTCGTATCCAAGCTATAGACATCTTTGATGGTATTTCATCGGCCAGCAACGTAGCAAAAGTAGAAATATTTCATTTATCGCGACCCATAGATGCTTTTACTAATATTATAAGTCAAAAGACAAAGACAGTCGCTATCAGCTGGAAAGTATTACTAAATGATCTGCGAATATCGACAAGTAAGTTATAGTATTTCGTTCATTAATTTATTTTTCTGAGCAATTCTTATTGTATTAAGATAGACAACTTACATAATAGTATTTCGATAAATAAAAGCAAATAAAAGTGGTAGTTTATATAATTAATTTACTATCGATACCGGTATTGAATAGGGTATGACTACTGTACCTCTTAAGAATTAGAATTTGTAAACATATATAAATAATTATATCGTACAGGAATCTCTAAATTACAAATTAAATCTTTTACTATCAGTGCCTTAACTGGTATTTAAAATAACTAGTCAAAATTAAGAATTTGCAAATACCATCAAATGAATTTAGTGATTAGAATAATTTAATTCAATATCCATTAAGAAATGAGAAGATTTCCATTCTTTTCGTCAAGTAATTGATATAAAGTGAAATGATCCAGTAGGTTACAGTCTATCGTCGGAGAGATGCTTCAATCATGGATCTGATATGATATTAAATTAGGATAGCATAAATGACAACTGAAATAATAGAATTACTTTCTAATGAAAATTTTTCTTTAATTTCAACGTATTTAGATGCGAATTATTGCAGAGTAGCCATCAGTAATCAACCAGCGTTAGTAAACAAGTTCTCTATTTTGGCTAATAAAACGGTTCAAATTAGAAATAACGGTTTTAGAGGCTATCAAACAATGTCCGCGTACTTCATCCCTCCCGATCATGTACCATTTGAGCAGCATTATATTGCTGTTATCGCAATTTTTGGTAGTGCTTTGTTATACTGACGGCTATCATTGCAAAGTATATTCGCACATTTAACTCGTATAAGCGTCGAATAGATCACTTTTAAGACTAATTACTATAATTTAAATATTTTAATTGAGATATATAATTGGGAAATTCTAATGTATTTGACAAAGTCTATTACTTGACTATCAATTAGTTTACAGCATTATGCTATAAGCTTAATTACTAATAATTATCGTTGCATAGCGCACAGCTACATGACTGCTATAAATACCTTTTATTAAAAATGTTATTTTTGTCAAATAGTAAGATACTAGATGACTATTAACATTCCATATACGTTTTAGCTACTGATCTATTATTGGGATAATGATATAAAGCCAAATAAAAAAGTTTGGATATGCAACTATTCTCGATTAGAAGTAATTCCGATACATTACCCCAAAGTCTTTGCTTTTCTTAAGTAGAAAACGAACTGTTACCGTCTCCTCGAATTTTATCATATTTATATGTTGACGTTTAAATTGGTTTTATTTTTGATAGGATAAAAAATTACCATGAAAGGACTTATCGTATACTGAATTGTCAACATATATTTATGTATATAGATAATATATTTGATATTTACTTGAATAAAGTAATAGTGATACTTGTGTTTAAACTTGAATAAACCGATACCCATACTTGTGTTTGAAAGCTTTAAAATTGACTGCAGAATTGATTATTTTTGCTGTAACCACTACTAAGGATATATAGATGTCACGGTACGAACTACCGTGAAGAAATAGCTATCTAAATTTGGTGAATATAATATAGTGATAATATATTACAACTAGTTACTTACAATAGAAGTACTCTAATTATAAATGTATTACAGTAAATTTAATACTGTGCTGTAATGTGCACTGAAATGATTCTGTGAATGGACATGTTATAGTCCGACTGTGAAAAATTAGTTAGTAAATGTTCTCACCTAAGTATTTTTATAAGATGACTTATGAATGTTAGCTGTTGTAGAAGGGTATATAAGCCCGTCAGATAGTTGAATAAAATAGTTCTCAATTGTCTAGTCGAGTTTAACGTAGAATCAAAGACGTCTAAATTCTTGTGAGTAGGGATACTGAATCCTCAGATTTTTAGAGATTTAGAGATTTATTTTACGTTATCCTTGTCACGAAGCTGGTTTGTGACAATAGAGGATCATAGAGCATGATTGGTTATCGTAGCGTTACTTAATAATAACTCAGATTTGCATCATGATTTATACTACTGTACCATAATACTATAAATGTTAATTGCAGTATTCTAAATTTTGATTAGTAATTGATAAGTAGTTGAACAAATAAGAATGATGGGTCCAATATTTTAGAAACTGTATCGGTAAAGATGGCCGTCTACTGAACGAGTCGTATTTACAAATTTTGATCATCATTTGTAAGGCCTATCATTTTCATAATATATTCATAAACTTGATCGAATTGTGTATGCAGATATATTCTGAGATAGATTTAAGTAATTCATCGTAGACATTGATATTGATAGCGATATTTCTATTCGATCTGATTTATCGGGAACACAATGTACTTTTATTTATCGGTACTTGCTACGGCATTTCGTAAATAAAGCTTTGAGCTTATACTAAGCGCAACTTTGAGCTTTAGATAAATCTAGACACAAGGATAGCTCAGGTACTAAGCAAATTGACATAACGTTACTAGTGAACTTTATCACGGGTAGTAATACGTATATGTCATAGTTTGAGAAATGTTTATACGGCTTTAAACTAAACATGATTCAAGAAAATTATAGTACAATCTTCTAACTAGATGCTTTATGGATTAATGTGACTCATTTAGCAATGGAAAGGTTTCTATTAAAGATTAATATATCATTGCGTCTAGTATAGTTCTTAAATAGTAAATTTTTAGGGTGATTTTCTAGACTTCAAGACTATTTTAAATCTAGCAAGCGCTTGTTAGTAATATTTTGATGGACTAATGAAAGCTTGAGATTATATTTCCTTTATTTGAGAAGAGTATCATAAGTCACAGTATGATTGCCAGGTGAACCGTATGCCACTAACGCTTCGAAGAAGCCGGTAATAGGATATTAAAATGAGCTCTTCTCTCCTTGTTTATCGAAATATACTGTTATATCCAATATTGAAGTTATTTAAATGAATGTAATTGAAAAAAATAATGATTATATGAGAAACTCATTATTGTACTATGTAATGATTAGGTTGCGTTGTCCAATTCAATATCGATATTGGAGGCTATTCCAGATTAATAATGCAAAGCTACAATCTAATACTTTTCCAGTGTACCTAAACCACATCATAAATCATAATCGTAATATCCAACTTGTGTTCGCTCCGCTAATGATCGAAGAGTAATTATTGGATTAGCTAGATGCTTTTTATACGATCTGTAAAGTAAATTTAATTACAGACGAAATATTGAATAAGAATGATAAATACAGATCAGATAAAGCAGTTTATTCAATTTTTTATCCGTATAGCAAGGTATTCCACAAGCGGATATTATAGTATCGATATAAAAGCAGATATGAATAAGTAGCTCAAGTCGATATCTATTATGTGATCATCTTCGCGGAAATGTTAAACTGAAGCCATTGTGATTGAACTATGGATGATACATCGATACTTTTGATTAATTAAGAATTCTGTTCCATCATTAACATGGTATTTGCATAATTTAAATAATTGAGGTGTAGGTCTTATTCTAAAGGATATTATAGTAATCGAGACGAATACCCAACAATGATAAGCTTACATAGCTTACACTAATTTAAGATTACGATATTGAGTTAATAATTTAATGTATGGATAGGTTTTTTTGGACAGTATAGAGCCAACTGTAGATGAACGTGGATATACCTAAAGATATTTTTTATTAGTTTCGATATCGGCAACGTGCATAGTAAATCTACTTTGGAGCATACAAATCTCAAATAAAATTAAAAATCATAGCAAGTAATTACAAATATAGCGGCAAACAGATTTTAAAGTTTCATTTTGGAAATGAAGGTTATTTTAACCGTAAACGATGATCAAATTAGTATTTCAACCACGATCAGCGTATATAGCAATTAAAAGGCACTATACATGCTATAGCTTTTACTTTGTCAAAGAAAGTTTAATTGATTCTCGTACGATTTGTAGCGGTATAAAGAATTTTAGATCTTTCTGGACTACTACATCTTGATTGTCTCTTATCTCGAGTTTCTTTACGATAAAATAAGAACGGGTTAAATACGCTACCTAGACAACTAATAAAAATTAGCAAGTAATATAGAATAGTTACGCGAATGTCAACACCGAAAACTCGCACACTTTGAACAATTGCCCAAGGTACATTTAAGCCAAAATCCATTACAGCAACACGCAAAGTAACTTTGCCTAATTGAGTATCTGCTCGATGAAATTTATTATCTTCAAGACTGTGCCCAAAGGTAATCCTTTTTGTTGGTTTTTTTCTTATAAAGAATAACATTTTTACGGAATAGACGAGAGTGATACTCATTGGTATTCCAATTCCAAAAATTGAAGCATATAACAGGAAAGTAATTAATTGTACGGGATGATCTGATGAAACAGATAAAACGCATAGTCCTGATGTCTGAGAATAAACTACGGTGCCCCAATTAGCACTAATAGGTAGAATAACGGTTAAAATAGGATAAATCCACAAGATGACAAGAATAATAATGGAAATAGTTTGGAAACGATCTCCCAAATGTTCTTTGTCGTAACGGCGATTATGGACAGCGCAGTAACACAAAACGGCTATGGTAACTAGTTTGACCAAGTCGGTATAGGTTGCAAGGCAATATAAAACTTTACAAAAGTAGGAAGTCGAGTTATACGGCGATGTTGGCTTATTTAGAAAGATACTCATCATGACGGGTAATATGAATAAGAAGCTAGAGAATAGTGATTATTAAAATTTATGATCTATTAATAAATCAGTTGATAAATCTGTTATCAAAATAAGACAAATCATATATCGTTTCAGCTTCTATGTTGTACCGAGAATAATTTAAGGGCTTCTAACTACGCATAGATAAAATTAAGATATAAATGTTTGGTCAAGTTTACTGAGCTAATAACTTTACGAATTAATTATTACGTACTTTTCTTAATAGAATAATCATCAGGTACATTGTTTATAAAATGGCTGGTTAGCTTTATAAAAATAGTAATACAGTTACTTTTATAAAATAGTCAAGTTGATGGTTATGTCATAAATGCAAACAAAGCGACCTCGTTTACTTTGTAAAATAACCATCAGCCATGCCATTCATAAAATGCCTGTGTGGCTTGATAAATATTGTAATATAGTCACATTGAAAAATGATCAAATTGATGGTTATCTTATAAAAATAACCAAGGCGACCTGGTTTACTTTGTAAAATAATCATCGGTAAAGTTATTTATAAAATAATTGTTTAGCGCTATAAAATTATAAAATTCTAGTTATTTCATGAAAATAAGCAAGTTATTGAAAATAATTAATTAAAGCGACCTTGTTTACTTTATAAAATAATCAGCTAAGTTATTTATAGAATGACTAGTTAGCTTTATAAAATTTATAATTCTATAACTATATAAATGAGAATGTTACTTAATAAAATTATTAGTTCAGTAAGCTTGATCTAACATAAATATGAGTATCCATGTATGTAGGCTGTTATGATTTAAAAAGTTTCCCTGGAACATAATTTTGAATATCTAAATTGCTGTTATCTATATATTGGATAGTTATTTTATTAGAAATCATCAATGGTTTGTCTTTTCACTGCCTATTAAAGAAACTGATGTTATTTCTTGTAAGTAAAATTAATCTGTAATTATAATTATTAATTTTGCTATAAAAGTGGGCATAAAGTACGGTATCAAATATAAAGTTCAAAATCTTTGAATAATTTAATGAATTTAAAAATGATGAATTAAAATTTTAAATAGTGTTCATAAACTATGGGTTACTAGGCATGAATTTCGACCGAAAATCGAGTAAATAGGGAGGAAATATATAAAAGGAAATTACTTTTACCGGCATTTTACTTTTAACTGGTGTGTTTTGTTATAATTTTAGACGGGAATATGCGGATTATACTATCGCTTTGTTAATGCACTCCCAGCAACGATAGGCATACGGTACATTAGTATCGGATATGATTGTGAACTTTTTGGGAGAGAGTTCATTTTTTCATTACAATCGCTGAAATCCTCTAATTAGAGGCAATACGATAACATATAATTTACGCTCAATCGGTTGTATTCAACAAATTATAAGATGATAGGTTACAGTGCTTTACTAATTTCAATCTATTATTGAAGTCCAATGGTGAGGAGCATATACTGAGAAATTTACTTATGAATTATTTCTCCTTAAGAATAATAGATACTGCAGTTTGTAAACAAATAGTACTGTACCGTATTTTCCTTATTGCAATTTGGAAGTAATGACTATTTCCACCTCTATAATTGGCATGTATCTCGCATATACTCTAATAGCCATAAATTCGATAAAAAGCGTCTGGATGTATTTTCGTTCATTTAAAACTGATTCAAGTATTTCCGTATATTTTTGTCAGTTATGTCCGGATAGGCTGTAAAATTTGTATACTGTATATTGCAATATTTTATAGGCAGCTTTTAAGTTTACACTTTTTGGCGATAATGCATTACCAAATAAGATCCAATTTTATATCGTAACTCATTTGCTTTCAATAAAACTTTGTAGACTACATTAATTTACAAGATGAATTAAAGTTTTAGTTGTTCAACATATTGAAAGATATATTGCAATTTTTGGACTTGGGCTTTTAATGGAAATACCATATGTAAGATACAATATTACGTTGAAAGCTAATAAATATCGAATGTAATAGGAAAAATGTTGATCTGCAGTATTGTTTGTAGTCTAAAGTTGGCTTTGAATAATTTTTATACCGAACGAATAATATTGAAAAAAAAGGGAGAAATGAATTTGAAAATAATAAGACAAATAATCCCCTACTGTTCTATAGTCTATCGTTGGCTTTGAATAATTTTTTGTACCGAACTAACGATATTGAGAAGGGATATATAAAATTGAAAGTAATAGGACAAGCAATCATCCACTATTCCATAGGCTATCGTTGGCTTCGAATAATTTTGTACTGAACTAACAATATTGAGAAAGAGGTAAATGAATTCTTAAGTAATAGGACAAATACTCATCTATTGTTCTACACTTTAGCATTGGCATTGAATCATTTTTGTACCGAACTGATAGTATTGAGAAAGATGACATATTTGGATTACATTGACGAAAACTAAATTATAAGATACCTTTTCTGTACATTTCCTTTAGTACACAAAGATTTTTAAGTTAATAGAAGAAGTTGAAAGTACTATTTGTTGAATTCAGTGCGATAGATCGCGTTGCTACTTGATAGCTTGAAGTAATTTAATACAATGGGAAGAATATCATATAGTTATAATACAGCTGGCTTTTGCTATGGAAAATTAAGCGTTTGATAGCTTTTCGGCTGAAGAATAACAGTTTTGAAGGTAACTAAGCGGTAAGCTGCAATCAGCCCAAATTCCTGAAATTAGTAGATCACGATACTGCTTGAAAGCTTAGAGTAATTCAAAATATTGCCAGAAAACATTATATACCAGTAATTGTTGTACTACTGGCTGCTGTCATGGGAAATTAAGCGTTTGATAATTTTCAGCTAGAAGGTAACATCAGATATCAATAGCCTAATTTACTGAATTCGGTTGGTTACTGGACTGTATGGCAACGTATGAGTAATTTATCAATTATACAATTGGCTAAACAGAAGGCTGTTCGACGATCGTTTCTACCCTATCCCCTTCATTTTGAAAAGGTGTCTAGCTAGTACTTCCCAATTAGATAGAATTAATTTTGGTGCTGGTATTAATTAAAGACTGAGTTTTACTTTATGTTACTGCTAGTAATTGATCACACAAAGCTAGCTATACATGTACGTGCGATTTAGATAAGGGTCGTCATATTAATCAAGGATTCCGTAGGTACTGGAAGCATTATAGTTGTCGATAAACTAAGAAGGGATAGTTTCAATTTATATTTGATAAACCTCAGCTCCATTACAGAGTAGTGTTTGTCTTCATTATTTTCTGGTCTATTATAGTATACCGGTAATTTATTATTTAATAATTACTAGTAGGAAAACAGTTTAAAAGATAGTAAATATGAATTTCTCGCATGTATAGCAAATTTTGATTTATAAATCTAGCTACTTCCGAAAAATTTAGATGTGATAGGATAAATTTATGGAATGAATCATAAACAGGAAAATAATTTACTCTTGAGCAATCGAATTATGCGGGCTAGCTTATTAGTCTTAGGTATCGTCGCTGGTTAGTATACGCTAGTAAGATCATGGAATCCTCTGGCTGATCACAATTTCGAGCAGTTTTACTATGGACCAGCTGAATCACTTACCGATTGATTTATTAATTTAAATTAGGAATAAATTAGGAAGAGGCTTTTATGCTTCCTTAAAATCTTGTTAAATCGGTTTACTCAGTTAATCATAAATTAATTTACTGACAATACTTTTCTTTTAAGTTAATAAATGCTATCAGACTGTATTATAGCTTTTTATTTGCAGATAAACTTGCGCCATAGCTTTCTGTCTCAGTAAACTTAATTGGTACTTGAACTGTACGCTATAGTGATTCCATTAAAAATATCTATCAACATATTTGTAGTAGACGCTAAACATGGCGGATAATGTTCGAATCGATTTTCTTTCCTATTTTTTGGCCTTAAAATAGTAAATCAAGTATTCAAGTAAATTGTTGAACTGCTATCAATTATAGATTAAAGTGTGAAGTAAATTCATGGTCATTCATGTTGAATGAAATGTTCTAGGTGATTGATTATCCATAAGAGTTATTTTTTCCATTTAAAAAACTATGAACATAGCTATTCAATTGATATTATGCCAAATCACTAGTTTCTAGGCGGTCAGTCATATACCGGATTTGCTACTATTGCCATTAGAGGCAATTGTGAATAGCATTTGAATGAAAGAGCTTGGTTAACGCCAACAAAAACTTCGCGTACAAACGTTACCTATGTACTAAATTAGACAGCCTAGTGTTTTATAATTTGATTCACGAATATGGGTGGATAGTCACGCTAAGTATTATTACCCCCAGACAAAACTTTTAATATTGTCAGAAATCTTATTAGTACAGCATGGTATACGAGCTAGTCAGAACTGTTAAATGGAGAATGCGGATGGTGCGACTGACTTTGCTCAATTAATTTATAATTTACTAAATAAAAGCGTTGATGACTATACGAGTAAGCTAAAGAGTAGAAATATCAAACCGATCGGAATAACATCACCATACGTTAGATATTTTCAAGGGAAAAAACTATATTTTAGCAATATCACAGCATTGTAAGTACTGATCTAGTTTCAGTCATGAAATGTGGAATCGGTTTTTAAAATTGGAACAGGATAATCATGATAATGTGTCGGTGTGTACCATCGACTGATAGAATAGAATTTTTGTTACACTAGTCGATATTTAAGGTTACTAGATATATACTGACAGATAGTAATATCATTAAAATTTACCTGAATAATAAGTGTAACATATCAAAAGCGGCTAAATTGAAAACCAAAACGTCGGTTAAACGTGATCTTGCTCTAATTCTCTTGAATATGAAACCGATCAAGAAAATATTTCCTACTAGGCCAGCTAATAAGCTGCAACCCATTACGGTGATGATGGGTATAGCTGCGGCAACTGTAAGATTCATCTTAATTGATGACGATATCTTTAGGTTATCAGTCGATATTAGAGAGATTTTCTACAGTGGATGCTGTATCTTATCTAATTCCACTT